GGTAGAGGGTGTCGAGACTAAAAGGCGCAGTTTCATAACACCCTCGATCATTATACGTATATCATTTCCTTATTATAGCAAGCCGAGGCCGGGCGGTGGTTCGACGGCATTTGTTGATTTGGCGTTCTCCAGTGGAAGGCATTGTGCAGTGCAAGCGGTGGATCAGAGTTTCGGGCCACCCCGTCGAGCCACCACGTTGGGATCTATCCGCCCGCCTTGTATTCCGTTACCGCAATTCCCGTTCAGGGAAGGCTTAGTGCGAACGGCTGGCGCCTAGGAAATCTCATGCTTGCACGCATTAGGTTACCAACAGCGTCTTAAGACCGGCTGAACAGGTTAATAGCATAGCAGGTTATACATAAAGTCTCCCCTCGCCGGGTGTCCATCGAGGGAAAAGCGGCGGTGTGAGAACAAACTGGCGCACGCTAAACTAAAGGGCAACCCTTGTCTAAACAAGGAGGGGAAATAAAAGCTGAGTGCCCAGAGCCTTGGGTCAAGCCATCGGCATCGTGATTAGCTGACGGTACCCCGTCATCTGAGCCGGAAGGACCTTGCACGCTTGCGTTGCGTGCATCAGGTGCCTTATTAGCCCCAGCTTGTACAATCCATCCATCCAACGTGACCCCCATGCCCGAGGGTTAAAACGGAAGCAAAGGATCCTGGCAGTATTTGTATTTGTATAGGTACAATACGAATTAGAGGGAGAGGGAAAAAAAAAGGAACAACAAGAACAAGAAGAGAAGGGCTATACACGCGTACACCACCTATCCCATACCTGTGGTATTGTACCACGTACTCTGGATCTCACCAGTTGGGTCCAAACCGAAGGTCCCGTTGGCTTGATTGGCATCCAGCAAGCAACCTGAAGCACAAACTAGAAGGGGAGGGGGGGAAAGGAGAGAAGGGAAAAAAACAGGAAAAAAAGAAAAGGAACGAAGACGAGAAAAGAAGAGAGAGAAAAAAAGAAAAAAAAAAGGAAATAAAGCTGACCGCCCCACTAACATAAGTAATAACATATCGCTGACTCGCATCTGGACCAACACTTTCTTCAACCTTATCTACCTAGCTGCCTACCTACCTAGGTAGAGAGTTACCCATTGAAATACTCGATCTAGCGATTGCCTTATTGCATCGAGTTTACAAAACCGCATGCGGTCTTGAACCTTCTCGGCATCATCGCCCGGACCCTTTGTGTATGGTGCATGCGCAGCCAGCCCGAGCCGGCAAGCCGAGAAAGCTAACCAGCAAGCCTACCCGAAGTGTACCACGTCTCCGGGACAAGCCACAGTCGCATTTGTCATTTGAGGGATCAGAGAGCCTGCCACGTCAAAGCTAGAAGGCCTTGGATGCCGGCAAGCCCTTTTTACGTACTTTTTGCATACTATCTGCAAGCTCGGATTTGAAGAAGGAGAGCTAAGTTTGCGTCAGAGAGCAATAAACGATAAACAATAAGCAATAATCAATAAACAATTTAAAGGATTTGGATTCCCAAAACCTCTCTCGGGCTCAGGCGTATCTAGAAGTTAGAACTCTATAAATTACCTCACCCTCCCTACTCGGTTTTTGTGCGTCACCGGCAAACGGACCGAGCAAAAGGATCGGTTCGGCTAGAAACCCTTCTTCTACGCCGCATTGTTGCCACGAGGGGCGGCACAGCAAATCATTCTACGAACCCGAACATCCAAAAATAAAGACGGAGGAGAGGATTTCGCAGACATCTGGAGAGAATCCACCTGTGGCGTCCCGTCACTAGGATATTCCTAGATCGCAAAGTCATCACGATATCTCATCCACTCTCGCTCTTAGCACACGCATCCACGCATCCACACATCCGTACATCCACACACACACACACACATTACACACACACACCACGACACTGCCACATTTTATGGTCGTTTTACCATTCTACCGGACTTCTTAGCGCATATCTGGTTTTTTTTTTTTTGTGAGAATAATCATCGTACTTGGGTAAGTCATATGATTTACTTATATACACGCACGCATTCATTTATTAAGAAAACTTTATATATACCAATTTCTATTTCTTTTAAGCATATTGCCTGCGTTTTCTCTTAGCAATAGACTTATATGTGGGAGTGATTAGGTAGTCGTCTGTGCGAATCCGTGGGGCTTTCTAAAATCTAAGAGGAACCCATTAAGTATCGAAGAAAAGGAATAATAAAATAAAGGTAGTAAGATCCAAGAGTTAAAATCAAAAACAAACCCTCGTCGCTCCCCCAATCCGAGAGTTTCAATACAAATATTCCTTCTCCAAGCCGAAAAGGTATTTGTAACTCTAAAAAGGCAGTCACCACGCACCAATCGCGCGCACATATATCTACCTAGTACCTACCTAGGTAGGTATCCAGAAAAAGCCCTAAGGCATTGAAGAAACCTTGGAGGGCACCTGCAGTCATTTGACCGAATCAGATTGGGGCTTTCCTTCTGCGGCCCGTTCTGCGACCTGTTAGGTACCATCCTGACGGGATTCCGCCATTGCCCATTAGGCGCGAGGTGCAAGCCTAAAGTCTGACCTGATTGGAAGTTTTGAACAAATAAACCCGCCCTCTACAAGAAGGAAAAAAAAAAGTCAATTACCCCCCCAGCTTCTAAAGGTTATTATTGAATTGTTCCTAATTCGAACATCAGATTTGCAACCTTCAATAATAACTCCGTACGACACAATACCAGCGCCTCTATCCCACTATCTCACATACTTTCTCATTCTGCGCATGTTCGTCTCATTGCTATTAGAAAAATAACCCGATTTTGCGACCGTGCAAAGGTTATAATTATCATTATTACTATTACTATTACTATCATTAACAACATTATTATCGTTATCATTATCATTATCATCGACATTATTGTCACTATTCTTATTAACACGGATTTGGATTTTTCTTTCGGCCTCGGTAGGAACACCTTTCACGCTTACACGCTCACACGCTCACACTTATACTCATACTTGACACTCACAATACATAACGCACCTCGATCCATCATCATCCATCCACCCATCCTATCCATCCTATTCCTTCATACAAGGTCCTTGCAAAATCTTACATACGGCAACCAACACGCAATACCAGGGCGGCAGCTGTATGAACCTATTTCTTCTACTTGGCGAGATCGTCACAGCCGCCCTAGCCACTCCGCAGGTAGATGACATTTTCTTCTTCTTCTTTCTTACTCGGCTAGCGACTCAATAGCTCATGCTACTAGGAAGTTATTTCTCGGTCGCCAACTCATCCACACAGCCTTCACTCCACCCACAGTAGTAGTTCATCCGCCATCGGTTCCGTTCTTTTTATTTCTAATCCACCGGCTCGAATCACCGTTCTTATTAGCCCACCCCGGAAAGGAACGCTGCCGCTAGTAGAGCATTAGCTCTACGTAGTTAAGTCGGGACAGGTCAAGTCAAACCATCTGTGAGAGGAAAGGGCAAAAAAAAAACAATAAATAAGAAGAGAAAAAAAAGCTAGAAAAGGTACGTTTTTACAAACTTCTTCACATCTGGATCCTCTTCAATGTTCTAGTCCGGTCCTCTGGTCGAGTGCCACCTGAAAATTGCCCTGACCTGACCTTGTCCTGCGTCGGGCATAGCAGCAATCGCTCGAATCAAACTTACACCAAGTCACTTAGACTATCTTGGACCGCTTCCACGCCTCCACATTCAGACAACTCTTCCATTCCCGTTCCCATCCCCATCCCCATCATCCTTGCAACTGCGGGTCCTGCTCCGCTTGCAGAACTGCGTCCGCAAAGTTGCAAAAATCGTTGTCGTCCCTGGTCCTAGTACCTAATCCCTAGCCCCTAGCCCCAAGCCCCAACATTTACATGTATGTAGCTACATGTTAAGTAGCTAATAGCTAAGGCACGCACACATCATACACAGCTGATGCACATACTCATATACGTGTGTATACCTATATATACCTATACAACCTACGTATACATACATAAACCACACCCAATTACTTCTATAGGTAGACTCCGTATACGCATACCTACATGCATACATACACGCCTACACCTAACGAGCCTACACATATAACATTGCCCTATAACTTACCAGCGCCGATACTTAGCTAATATCGATGTTCTGACCCCTACCAACTCACTACGTCCCTTGCCCATCTAGCTCAGCTAGTCTCCTTTAAACATCAACCCATTTTCTATGTTGGTTGGTTAGTTGGCCGGATGATTACCTGCTTACCTTCATAGGCTAGGTACCCAGGGTACATAGTCTCTGGAGTCTGGACAGCAGGTTAGTTTTTGTTTTGACGTTGTGTACTGCGAAGGTTCCCGCGGATCTGGTTGGCTTTGTATGTGTGTTTATGCCTGTCTCTATCTGTCTGTATGTGCGCGTATATGTGAATATGTGAATATGTGTTTTTTTTTTAAAAAAAAATGAGATTCGCCATCGTGAGCGAGCATGATCATTTTAAACACATATGAATACATATAACATATAACATACAGCACATAGCATACAGCATACAACATACATACATACCTACATACATATTCTCCGGATATATATGTACATGTATTTCCTAGTACCTATTCGTTTAGACCCCTCGCGCGGCCCCGTTCTCAGACTAAAATCGTCACTATACTTTTTTTTTTACCACTTAGAAGTTCTATTTTGTTCGGTTCATTCCAGCTAACGTGCTAGCTAGGCTTTTCCAAGATTCTCTTGCAGCAGCCCCAAGCGTCACCAAGGGTCATCCCGCATCCAAATTATAGAAGAGTCAGGCCCCTTCTCTTTCCTCCCGGCACTACAGACTCCGCCGTCTGTGTTGTTAAGGTTCTTCCCCTTCCACCACGGTTGGCCCCGCCATTCCACCTAAATACCTAAATTTCTTGCGCCGCCGTCCTTTCCACTGCGCAGCCTGTCTTCTCACTTACAACTAAAACTCTCTCACTCTCACCCTCACATCCTCTCTTCTCATCTTCTTGACATCTGTAACAGTATTGTCGACTGCTTTCCTGCCGTTCTATAATTAATCTTTGTGTCATCCTTCTCATCCTCTATCCAACCACTCCCCCCCAAAGTTGCATGCGTTGTTAACCGACCTGGTAGTCTCCAAGGATATCGGTTCTGTGTATGCGCACCTGACGACTTTTCTGGACTTGCGGTTCGCTTCGGCTTGGCCTTCCGTTTCCACCCCCCAGAAGGATTTTTTCTAGAATAAAAAAATTGACATGGTCATCGGCTGTTTTACTACCTTGTCTCGGGAATCGTGCATTTAAAAAAGAAATCTTCAAGTCACCAGGGTTTTTTTTAAATCTCGAAACACGCGCCGCCTCAGACGTCACCTAAAACCACCTATCTCCTAGTCGCTGCGTGGCTACAGCTCTCAAACCTCACCCTGGCGCCCCTCAGCGTCCATTAATGTAGCATGGCAGAAGATCGTCGAAATAGAGGACAACCTTTAAGGCACGACCCAAACGACGAATCTCAGTATCCTCCAGTTCCTGGCGAGGAAGACGACCGCGCAAGAGCAATTCCTTATCATTCACGACCACAAATGGCGACTGGTGCAGTAAGATTGCCATCTATTCAGGACCCTCACGGTGCCTATAACCCGTCTTCTGGTAGAGCTTGGGATCCGAGGTCTAGTGGTTATGGTCCTTCGCCCAGCTCTACAAACGGATATCCCCCTCCGCCTACCGCCGCACAGGCACCTCCAAGTGCTGCTTACTCGCCTCCTCCCGGCGGCGCCTATCCTCCTCCTGGCACCAGCCATCCCTCCTATCTTCCACCCGTCCATGCGGCGGCTCCAGATCCGAGGGCCGGCTACTCTCAAGATCCGAGGGCGTCACCGTACTTTTCTAGCTATAGCGGTCTAAATCCGTACGACTTCACGTATCGGCAAGATCGTAGTACACCTGGGGCTTATCCTCCGGATTACGCCAGAGGAGGGCCTGCGGGAACTGCCGTGATGCAGCAGTCCGCCCCTCGACAGCGAACTTCGATTGCCTGCAGATATTGCAGGAGGAGAAAGGTGAGGATAGTTTTATATTGCTAAAATATCCGTAACAAAAGACTAACACAACTCTAGATCCGTTGTAGTGGCTACCAAAATTCTCCCGGAGGAAAATGTACGAATTGCATCAAGATGAATCAGGAATGCGTGTTTCAGCCGGTCTCTTCTTCCTCGTCCACCGCATTTGTTCCTGTTTCGGCATTGCCGAACGGCATCCCGCCAGGCACGCAATTGTTTGGGGCGTATGGACAGCCATTGTCGGGCGGGTCGAGCCTTGCACCGGCCAGTGGATTCTCAGCTACGAATCCGCAATATGACCAGTCACTGCCATCGCCGACTGGCTCGTATGGGTCTTTTTCGGAAGAGAGGTCTGAAGCAGGCAGGCGGCGGGCGAGACCTGCAGATGATGAGCACGGAGTGCGTTTACCTCCTCCAAGCACGTTTCCTGAGGACAACCCGCGGCGACGATCTCCGTCGTCGAGCGGGAGTCCAAGTCATTTACAACCGTTACCACAGCTAAACCCCCAGCAGGCTCCATATGCCGGGTACGATAACAGAACCCCACCGCCGAGGGGCAGTCCGTCTGGCCCTCCAGCAGGGCATAGTACCGCGAGTTCCGTAATGAGTCTAGAGAATATAATGGGCACTGGCCCTACTTCTAATAACGATATCGACCAGAAGATGCTAGGCCGCTTAAACAGGCGAACGTAGCGGCCACGGCTATCGATTATTCGTACCAGCCACCGGATGGCCAGGAAGTCGATACGCCCGTTGAACGAGGAAAAGAGGGTTGGAGGGGCGGTGCTCGAGGGAGGGGTCTATGATGGAAGGAGTTGGGAAAATAGATGGCCGCTGGCGGCTTGTCCGGACGGTTCAATCGGCGACGATTCCTCGGTGTTTTAATCGATTTCCAAATTTACGAGTTTGGGGGTGGGAGGAGGGCATCCGGGGCGGCATTTGCATTTAATTCACCAGGGCGGCGGCTACGAGTCGAGGGCGTAATTTGCGGTCTTTGCGGACGAATACGAAAATGGGAGAAGGGGCCGGTCGGAAGACTACCTACTTACTTAGATCACTTCTAGTTTGGCGACAAACCTCGATCATAGCATATTGTCTATTTGCTTTCTTAAGTCGGTTCTGCTTATGATTTTAATTCTATTAAAGAAGCCCGCTCGATTCGAATACGGGAGGAGGGGGGCGGATGGGGAGGGGTTAAGAAGATTGGTTCGCCTCACGGCAAAAATCCAAACGCTGGGTGGTTGCTTTGGTTCCATTACGTCTATTCTAAAACACCGTCCGCCGCGTTGCCTTCAACGAGATGCGGACTACTATTTGCTTTGTCTTTAGAAACAAACCTTGAAAAGAAAAGGCAATCATATTTACCAGAATCACCAGAGTTGCCAGAGCCGCCAGGATCTCTAGATTCGCCAAGATTAGCAGAATTGCAATTGACGCGTTCGTATGTACCGTGTAGAGCGACATGCTGATGCTGATGTCAAAACGTTCTAGATCTTCGCCCTATCCAAGCACTACCTAGGCAGGGGTAGCTTCATCCATGTTTGAGGTGCCAGGAAACGCATTAAAGAGGTAGATGGCCAAAGTCGGTGCGCACGCGCGCTAATGCTACGCCGTTACCTTGACTACATAGTACTACGGTACTACGACTAAGCAGGAAGACGATGACCCAAAGCCCCGAAGAGGGGGGACGAACGATAGGGGGTGCTTGGTCAGACTACGCTATAATACATACATACATACATACTTCATACATACATACTTCGTACACATACAACATACACACATACCTACTACCTACCTAGTAGTAGAACCTGTGGACCCTCCCAAGTGGATACGATGGCCAAGGTTTCGATAAGAAAGGGCTGGATTCGTTTACAATCGCTGACCATAAAATGCTACTGTATCACTTGCCCATGATCGCGGAATAGATCCGGCGGACCTTTCGGTGTCTAATTTGACGTTTACATCGGTATCCCAGTCGATTTTTCTCTCTGGGGATCTTAGCGACACATTACACGCATACGCTGGTGCCGTCGTGACCTCGCACTGCCATTCTTCGCGACTAGTTTTGTAGAAGGAGGGGTGAAGGGGCATCTCCACGACCCGGCTTCCCCGTGCAAGATGAGCTTTATTTTACGCTGTAAGGACCGTAGGTCAATATTTCATGCAGATTAACTTTCGGGGAATATGTAAAAGGGTGGGCAACCGGTACTTAATAAGCCGCGGTGAGATGATTAATGACCTATTATATACGGTATATGTACGTGACAGCATCGGATCGGCCTCTTAGTTGTTGAGTTATTAAGTAATCACATAAGTGGTACCGCGTAACTACTTGCCTATTTACCTACCTACCTACCTATGTATATGAAGATACGACGCGGGAAAACGTGACTAGTCTCTTTGCGAAGTAAACGTGTGACGATAAAATGTTCTAGCTCCCGCAAGGTTCCGAATGGATCGTTAGCTACCCTAAACACGACCATCTTCATCTTCTACGGCGAAAACGGAAGACGAGGAGAGATGTTACCTACCTACCTACCTACCTATGTATGTATGTACATACCTACGTATCACTAATAACTAGGGCTAACGGTTAATTAAACCGAAGGGCGAGCTAACTGCCGGTCTAGATACTACACTCCTTACCATAATATATATAGTATTACAAATATGTTTTCCCGATGATCGCGCTATGCTAGCTCGGTTTAGTGTGTTCAGTCCGTAGGAGCATTTTCCTCTCTCTTGGTCTAGTCCAAGGAGATTCAAGCGCGGTTAGCAGTAGTGAATGCGCATGAAACACAATCCTTCGACAGCGTCGTTGTGTATGCATCACGACACCAACCATTGGGTACTTGGGCTAAAAAGGCTTGGAAAGGATCGCTGTCTTACAGCCTAAGATAGCATATATTTGATATATATGTGTACACACATAAGCTCCTTTTTCTCCTCCCCTTACTCTAGTACAAGAATGGTGAAACAGGCTGTCATATTGTCCCGAGAATAGTGACTCCAGGCTTATCTACCTCCCTACATTTATACATACCTACTAGGTAGGTACAGACATATGTTGGTACATACCTATGTAGGTAGGTATGGAATAACGTAGCGAACTACTGGGTAGTACTACGTATGATACTCGTCCAAGTTCGCCCAATACTAGGTACCTACCTAGTTAGAGATTCGGCGGACATTGTGGGCGCAGCGGGTGACGCCACGTACCGTACCGCACCGCACCGAAACTCTATGTTTGCCTAAGGATTTTCTCCATCGTTCGGGCTTTTTTGCCCCTTGCGAGATACTTGACTGGGTTGAGACGGCGGCTCCATCCTGCATGCCTAAGAGGGAGGGAAAAAGGTTATCGGGCTGCCACGTTAGGCGTTTGCGCGCCTAGGGATTACCGAACCGAACCGGTGAGGCGGTTCCCTTTGCTAGACGAGGCAAGTTTGTACCTAAACTTAGGCTTTCCTTTAGATGACTAAATGATTACTGTACACGTGTGCTCTACCATACTAGAGAGCCAATAGTGCCGTTAGTCTCTACCCGAAAGAGAAATCAAACAAACAAAAACCACTGTAAATTTGTACCTAGCTTCCTGCTACAACTTTGCTGAATATGGGTTCATCAATATCAAGACTTGACGAACTCCTAGATGTCGATTCTACATTATCTGACAGGCACAAAGACGATGCCAATACCATTGAACATAGAGTATCATGATATTGTCTTATTTAACTGATAATTATCGCCGTGTCGCCGTATCATTCACTTATTTACATATCTCCTTAGACCAAATTTAGGTTAAGCCTTTACTTCCCTTCCTCGTTGGCTATGTATGATTCGTGGCATCCAGAAACCATCGCCTAGCCTTTAGCTTCGATCGCTCGCCGAGTATTAATTTTCCGATAATATCGAAAGCCATCGAGTGGGCATCGTACCTAACCAACTATTCTAACCGATCGTGGATGTTAAAGATGACTCGGTCATTCGGTTGACATATCAGTATCCTATTCCCCAGCCTTGACGCGACGACACGTCGAAGCGATGTCGAAGCGAAGTACAAACCCCCTATCGAAATAATACCTAGGCGTCTCGAGGGGTAATCTAGTGATAAATACCTACCCATTGTTATGATGAAATTGTCTACATTAAATAGCGATAGGTACCTACAAATATCAACAGTTCGCGAAGCTAGATATTTCCATCGCGACATGGCTATTATTAATATCCTAGGGTAACAATGCCTCTAGAAGAAACCCGACATAATATGTATTTCAAGTCTGTGAGTTCAAGCTCTCGTGACCTTTCATGAGTCAGGGAGGTTACAGCCAGGGCCAAGTAGTCTAGATGATGTTCTACTTGGAAGCTACTGTGGTACAAATTGTCTTTGAACTGTTCCCTGGACCTATTTCAAGACTTGGGTATGACTATAGCATCATGTATATCCTAACAACCAGCTACCACCCCTAAAAGCTAAAAGAATATTACAGGAAGCTTCATAGCTTATACGATGGCCAACTTATTTCGATTATGTATCAACACATCGAGAATTCGAACTTCCAAAATGAATTCAATGTATACTACCTTTAAACCCCCGAATCGAGACCAAGAGCCTGATTGCGGCGAAAAGGCCTAAATATAAGATCATTAGAAGCACACCAGGTAGAAAACCCGCGATGGCTTTGGTTGGGTGGACATAATGCGATTACGAAGTCCTTAAGGGGGTTTACGGATTCCGCCCGTATTTTCCAGGAGGAACCGAAACCTCATCTACGATTCCACGATCTTTCTTACGAGGGGTTACCCTTGTATTTCGAGCATCGCTTACACTCGTAAATATTCGATCCGACAGCCCTAAACTTTCCGTTCGTTCTTGTTATGTTCAAATTACGAGAGCAACATTTGGAGGATCTCAGCTTGGACATGGTTTCATTGATAGAAGTACATACCACCTCGAAGTTCCAACTACAGATAATCATTTGCTTAGTGTTGAACAGGAGCACGACTAGTACTGAGAAAAGGGGAAGCGGATAGGATAATATAATAATCAAGTTAGGTACCTAGGTAAATAAAGGAATAGATATGGCTGGATATAAGAACCCTTAGAAGGGATTCTAGCCTATACCTTACATACGAAAGTATTGAGATACCTACCTAGGTACCCAGTAAATATTGACACTAGATGTTTACCCCGGGCTAGGCCTTTAAGAAACTCTAGAATCTATACTAATATGCTTGGAATGATGACACAGGCCTTGAGACGCGATGCCAAACTACCTACCTAGTAACATAACCCGGAAATATAATAGAAATTCTACTTAGCACATTTACCTAGACATAGCCAAGGCATTTGTTCCCCAACATGATTGTCGAAGATAGGTACCTAGTCTTCTCCATCGTAGCGAAAGAGGCTATGTTATCACGTTATGTTCTGTAGTTTAGAAACCTTTACTATCGACAGTAATATTGGCGCCGTTAATTATATATAATCAAGTCAAGTTGAAAGATCTAGATTGTATTCTATAATGGGGCATCATCTCATTCAAAGGAACATAAAAGGCATAAACAACCTCTCGTTCGTCTAGGGACTGACAACAAACGCACCACCCAACAAAATAGCAGGCTCGTCGATATTATGGTGTTCGTAGCTAAATAGGGTGATCTTGTTAGCACTGTAGTCTTTTAAATGGCCGCCAGTAGCAGTAGAAGTAGCCCGGTCGTGTGAACTTGGCCTAGGAAAGTAAAAGTATACCCACCTCAATGTCCCAACACCACCAGCTTCTAACAAGAAAGCTGGGCCGTCTTGAAGCGTCTTTTGGACCCATCTCATAGCAAAAGCACGGAGGATATGCCCGTGCGCCACGAGCAGGACATCGCTTGGTGGCAAGTTTTCTGACTTGGACTTCCCGATTACAGGGCCGTGCCACTTCTCCCGAATCTCATCGATCAGATGATCTACGCGCTGTGTGACATCATCGGGACTCCTATTAAGGGTGTTAGCTTTCTCAATTCGTGTCGTTGGTTGGTGTGGCTAATTCGAAGGTTTGTTGGACCTGCCGGTGGCTACAAGAAGGAAGTCGACAACCTACTCTCCGCCGACACACCCATCTCTCCAAATGTCCCATTTCGGACCGAGGCCCTGCTTGGCACGAATCTCGCGGATCTCGGGGGTTGTTATACCCTCGTAGTCCCCATAATCCCACTCGCGGATATCTTGGGTGACCTCAACCCGTGCTCCGCAGCTATGACTAGCGTCGGGAAGCTTCTCACCGTGAACCTTCCACGGCAAGGGATCTGAGATGCCAAAGTTTAATAACTCGAATGTGTGCTGGGCTCGCTTTCTTGGTGATACGTATCTAAGATGGACTCAGTAAGTAAATATATTATTGACGGCTAGTAGAGGGTATGTCAAGTTTGTGTTCCTTTTCCTTCAGCTGCGTTGAGATTGTGCCTGGTGCTACCTAGGTACCTACACTAGAACATAGGAAATATGGGAATAGGAGTATCTGTTAAATGGGTAGATTGGGTGGTTGGACAGAGTCTAAATGACCTTCTATCTCTGCATGACGTACATCCTGGGGTGGACAGTGAGAGAGTTAAAGCAACGTAAATTCCATACGGCGTTGTTTGAAGGGATAGTTCCGTCTAAACCTCCTGCTAGTTGACGAGCAACTCCAGAAGATGATAAAGGCCCAGGGAGGACTAAATAGATACATAATTGGAGACAATATGAACTCACATATGTGCAAGTTTCTTCGGCACAATTAGCCGGTCATCTCCTATCAATGCTCGACCCGTCGCTTTCACACGTTTTTCGCCATTAGCTGTAAGAGGAATATCAGACACACCTGTGTGCCTTCCGTTTAGCGACCACTCCGTCTCACCGTGACGGACGAGAAAGACACGAGGAGTTGCCATTATGCTCAAAAGATAGTAGAACCTTAACTCTAGAAATCTATGACAAGTTCTAGTTAAGATGAAGTACGGCGATAGCGAACTGCAGCTATTATAACCAAGACCTAGAGAGCCGCCGATGTAGATTTCCGCTATATCCCGGATTTAAACTTTTGTCGCATGAGATGTGCCCGTGCTATAATAAGCCACAAATCTAGATCCAGAGACCTTGAATTCCCCGGCAAGATGGGTAGGTAACACCGGATTAACATAGGCTTGTATTACACAAGTACATAACACTCAGCGTGTAAGTGAGTACGGTACTAGGTAAGTAACCTTGTTAGAAATAGGGTGTGGGTTTACCCCTCAAAGAGAAGTACGCCGTAGAAGGATGACGCTAAATATATTGAAAGATGAGCTAAGAGATAAAGGCTGCTGTAGGTGCTATGCGAACCACTTACAGACTATCATCTAAACAGTACCTAACTCTATCCTTTATATAATTTATTTTTGAAGGGAGAGAAGGAGAAAAAGAGAAAATTGGGGGAAATAATAACCCAATGCAAACAATACTTACGTCAGAAGCAATCGATGATGTCGTTCCCCGATACCGTTAGTGGATTACTAAGGGCACTGCTCTTATCCCTACGCGCTATTGGTTCCACTAATAATAGAATCCACGAGCCCGGCAGCGGATCTAGCGGCGTCAATTTTTACGCCGCGGAATTGGAGCTCCAACCTTGGCCCGTCGCTTCCTCAACCACGCGAAAAAGTGCCAAAAGTGCGACAGTCGCTACCCGTTGCGCCGAATATCGTAATCGCCGCGGATTCCGATTGCCGGACCTGCCCCGACTAACTGTCATTCGTAGTAGGAGCAAGAGTAGGAGCGGCGGACGCAGAACTCGTTCAATCAACCGCATAATATCCTTCGACAGCAACGTTAGCACAACCAACGACGGCTTAGAGCGCAGTACGAATAGTTCCCGCTGGAATGCCGCGAGGCATAGGAGAGCCGTGAGGAAGAAGCATCAGGCAAGTCAGGTCTGCTGGAGAGGGTACTGGGGATAAGGCAAACGAACGAAACCTCGATGGCGAGAAAGCCAAAATACCCCGCCATGGCATCCAACAAGCCACCACCACCCCCACCCCCACCTCCACCAGCGCAAACACCGCCCCCCGCGAACCAGATCCCCCGCCCCCCGCGCATGGCCTTCAAGACCTGGTTGCTGACTGGAGCCTTCGCAGCCGTCGCGGTCGTCGGCGCGATCTACGGAGCGGGGCTGAAGACGCAGCAGGAATACAAGAAGGAGAAGCAGAAGATCGTCGAGGCCAGCGCCGAGGACCGCATACGGGATTTAGAAGGGCGGCGCGCGACGCTCGTGGCGTATCGAAGGCCGATCGAGAGGAAGCTCGACGACCTGCGGGCTCGCATGAGGGATCAGGACCTCAAGGATGCTGCTGCTGCTACTACTGCCGCCGCTGCCGATAAAGATAATAAAGTAAAATGAAATAATGAGAAATGTTGATGCTTTATATCCGAAGGATAGTCTACAAGAGGAGGGGAAGGTACGATTATAATGAATGGTTCAACGATGTGTGTGTATATACCCCTTTTATCCACGGTAAGAAGTCAGTATCTGCCTGCAAGATACTCAGGTGGTGAACATGCTTCTAGGTGGGCAAGGAAAGTAAATGCATCACGGCAGAGTATTACGTATGGTGGTAGCAGGGTTAAGACCAATCGAAGCGGGCTATGAAAAAAAAACCAATACAGAGGAAGGACAGGGAATCATGGCAATCATTCTGCTTGCTTCAAAAATCCACGTCCGTCTACTGTAGCATGAGACGCAAGGGGGATTGAAAATACTAAAGTCTGGCCATGTTGGCACAGCATTTATTTTCCGAACCATTCCCTACCTATCAAGTGAAAGTGAGTCTAATGCTAGCCCCAAGTTCCCTGCTTGCCATGCACTCAAACGCCCGTATGCACCATCATTTCTCGTCTTCGCCTTTTTCACTCCATCGTTCCTTCGGCAGAAGGTAAGGGTATAGCGCGGTATAGTAAGATAAGAGCTGAGTGCGACTCGCCACCTCCAGCGAGCGTCTCGATTTTGTCTGCTGTTACCTCCGACACCTTGTCATCGTTGAACCACCACCACTTGCCATCTTCCTCCTTTCGTTTGCCAGTCTTTACGTCGGCCGGTGCCGTCTTCTTGACGTAAGCCGTGTAGTGGCCGCTGTCTGCGCTTGCGCCCTGGTGTGTGACAACTCCCCGAAGTTCGTACAAGCCGGACTGGTTTGCGCCGTCATCATTGGCTAGGGATGGGTCGATGAGGGCGTTCAACTCCTTCTTCGCTGCAAGAAGCGCCGCGTCACGTTCTGCGTCAATCTCGGCATCTGTCTTGTAGCTCTCAGTCATCTCCACATCGCCATCTGCAGAAGCACCGGCTGCCTTGGTATCATTCTTCTTCGCTCCCTTTCCACCAGGAACATCAGCAGGATCGTCGCCGGCATCATTCCGCTTGCGGCGCTTACGCGCACGCTCGATATCTTCCTCATCCTTTCGCACTTCTCGAACCTTGTCCCTGACTGGAATAAGCATTCCCTTCAGCTTGTCGTCGCAGAATTCAACAAGATCCAACTCGTGGGGAAAGGTGACCTTTCGCATGATCTTGGCTTTCTTCTGTGTCTCTCGTTTCCAGAAGAAGCGAACGAACTGCACGGTGAGATACTTGGGTAATCGAGATATTTTAGAAGTCTTGGTGTAGACGGCCTCTCGGCCGAGGACCTCCGATCTTTTTTCCAGCTTCTCGCTTAGGCCATTTGCAATTCCATCCCGCAGATGATTCGTACTACCATCTATGTGGCAGCTAAGCTTAAGGAATGTCTCTTTTGAGACCGCAGACGTCTCTCCACTTTCCTTAGCTGCAGGTTCGTCACATTCGAGCTCGGATGTAAGCTCTCCCGACATGTATTTATCGATGAAGGAAGACTCTGGAGATTCGGGTGTATCTTTCACGCGTAGCTTCTGGCGTAGCTGGGTTACAATCTGAGACCATGCTTCCTCGGCGTCTTGTTGGGCAAACCCGGCACCAGTTCGAGAACGCTCATTAAACTGGGGGAAAGCGGCACGCAGCGAGGTTAGGAATGCAACAGGAGAATATGCCTCTTGGGTTTCAGACATGTACTTGTACAGATCTCTAAGCTGCTTCGTCAAGTCTAGAGGCGGCAAAAGCCCTGCAGTGCTCATAGCATTGGCAGGAGTTTCGTACTTACCCAGTGCGCCCTGCAGCTCGGGGATGGCACGAAGAGTCTGGAGGGTAGAGTTAAGATAGCATGTGTTGCCCAGGTTAGTTAGACCAGCAGGTATAGCTCCCTCTTGCTGCGCGGCCTCGGCCTCTGTCATGTCTTCGACGAACTTGACGGACTCTTTAGGGCGCGTAAGAACATCCTTATTTCCAGGTGTACCAAGCATCATTATTGATTGGCCGGGCTGGAAGTTGAACTTGCTCATGGGAGTATCATCCTTCACTTGACCACCCTTGATTAAGATCTTCTGACGTTCGGGCTCTACGCCGGTAAGACTGTAAAGCTGGTACTTGAATATCTCACCGGTCGACTCGGTATCAACCTCAACATCGTACTTGGTACCCTGATGCTTGACGACGACTGTAGGGGGCAAGGTAGGTTAGCGGGGTATCGCCGAGATAATGGCGTAGCTCGAAGTGCTCACCTGGTATGGTCGCCATCTTGTAAAGCTTAAAATATTCCTTTCGATACCTTGGATGTTGTAGGAAAGACTTGGGATTTTGGGACTAAGGTAATAAAGTACAACTTGGGTTGATGCAAGAGGAAAGGTGGGGAGAAGATTTACAACTGCAAGCTGTAGTTATACCTAGTAGAATTCAATGTGAATACAACAAGAGCAAGGCAAACTAGTGGGTGCGTCACCAGCTTTAGAGTTTCACTCAAAGTGGGGCGGAAAGAACCACCAAACAAAACCGCACTCAAAAATCATGAAGTGACATCACGTGGTCTTTTCCCCAGCTTACCTAATAACTTACCTAATAATTTTGGCTGTGGCCTAAGGTCCTTAGTAAGCCAAGCCTCCAAGCTAGTTGAAGATCTATTACGCAATAAGGTTAAGAGAGCTGTCCCACATTGTAGCCCCACATTGTAACCTCACATTGTACATACCGTCCATAATACCTGTTACATACAAACGTAATTGCAAGGACCAGCGTCTTGCTGGCGATTGCTTCACCCCACATCACTCCTGAAAGACAAGACACAAGTTTAGGACTTCCAACTGCCTAAGGGCTTCACATCATGGCATGTCCTACCTGTTCCCCATTTTGAAAAGAAATCAGAAAGTAGGAGACATTTGCTAACCTGAATCTCCAGTCCCAATCTCTCCGCCCGTATCTCCAATGTGTGCGGAGCACCCTCACGGCCGCCCTCTGTCTTTCCAACTTCGCCTCCCAGACTTCCGAACGCCACAATGTCCCCGAAATCGAAGCCCAAACATCCCCCGAGGTTCTACTCAATCCATTAATCATCGCACGTAACGAGAACGAGAAGGTCCTCATCGAGCCAAGCGTCAACAGTGTGAGAATAAGCATCAAGATCAAGCAGGCAGACGAGATCGAGAATATCCTAGTTCACAAGTTTACCCGTTTCCTCACCCAACGAGCCGAGGCCTTCTTCATCCTTAGGAGAAAGCCAATTAAGGTACCTCACCACCATTCACACGGATCTCATGAAGTTTACCGATATTGACTTGATCCCAATAGGGCTATGATATTTCATTCTTAATAACAAATTTCCATACCGAGGAGATGTTGAAGCACAAACTGGTAGACTTCATTATCCAGTTTATGGAGGAAGTCGACAAGGAAATTTCGGAGATGAAGTTGTTTGTACGTTGTCTTGGATCCAAACCCTTGGTGGATAGCCCCTACTAACTGATATTAGTTGAATGCCCGAGCAAGATTTGTAGCCGAATCCTTCCTAACACCTGTTAGTTCTTTCATCGGCACCCCCTTCTACTCTCTGCTAACATTCTGGCCAGTTTGATTAAGCAAAACATCTGGATGGGGGACTCCAGTTTATGCCCACTGATATCGAGGTCATGACAAGGCGCCGATGGATTATTCGACTGGCGTTCATAAAGATGCAAGAGTTGATACACCCAAATTATTAGCTGGTGACGCCACACAGAAAAAGAGCGACACTTTAGCAGTACAGATTTTCTAAACGCATAAAATAGCATCAATCGATGGAGATTATCTTTCCATGAATTCTCAAACCCACTTACCCCTTTTCTAGCCAATTCCCCAACACGTGATGTGATAGATCTTTCTTTTTTCGCCTGCAAGGGGAGGATTCAAATAGTAAATAGTGTCCTCCTCTTTTTCATTTACCATGATATCATGAAAAACTCTCAGGCAAGGCATAATTAACCCAAAACAACCCGCAGGTATATAAGAATATCACCATTCGGTTAAAAATGAGGGATCATGGTGCCAGTTTAGAAGAAAAAAGACACAACTACCCAGGTTTAATTCTGAAGTTCACCCATTTCCCATTATGTCTCCAATGCGCTCATATGATGTCGCATCTACGGCACTACATAAAGAAACCTCCCACGTTAGACGGGCAATAGAATATCAGTAGCAAAGCGGGTACGGAATCATGCTGGAGAGACAGTAATCTGTTTAGTGAGAGAACCGAACTTCAATATCAGGGCCCAATCGTAATATATCATCATTCAACAGAGCATACGCATATGCATGGAACCAATCCCTAGAAATCCGCTATTATTCTGGTCCATGAAATCGGGAAAACAAGCCGCTATTAGTGCATATGTACCTAGGTACCTAGGTAGGTACCTGGTATCCGAATCAATACTGGGGGAAAATGTCTTGATTTCAAGGTTGCGCTTTAAAATTGGAAGCCGCCATCAACGTTTCCAAAAATTTGACCGAGCAGCTCTTTCCGCAAGGAAACTACTGGGGACTATCATACGAAGCTACCTAGTCGGGGAGGTGCGCCTCGCTAGGACAGTATTAAACGAGTCTGGAAAGGGCGATTGGCGTCTGAAGTGAGTAGTTACCTCAAAGGTCTAAGCGCCAACACAGTAATTATATGATCTCTACCCTAACCATATTTCTCACCTTGTGACATAGATGGTGAGATCCTCCTTTAAGCTCTTGTTAGTCAATGTGATAATACTGAACATAGATGTCAGAGATTAATATGACTACCTTACATATATTTTCATTTCTTTTTGAAACCGCCGTGGGCGCAAGATATGGAGGTTTGATCGAGTTTTTTTAACCAAAAAAATAGCACACGACGATGACCCCATTCAACATCTAACAATATACTTCGTAAACACCCGAATAACTAGGGATAGGACTTGAAGTCATTCTTTGTTTAAATTGTTAAAGTCTCGATATCACTGCTTCACGTTTATCATTTATCATGGATCACCGGTTCTGTTGATATACTTGGACACATGGTTTATATAGGTAAGAAAAAGAATTCTACCAGAGACATACTCATCTATAAACACTACTGTATATATACTAACCTAGGTACCTTATGTAGCTTAACCTAGTTTACCTGTCTATAGGTAGTGTCAATGTATTAACGTACTTAAATATTTTATTTGATATAATATCCCATTGGTAACCAAAGAAATGAGATCCTGGTTGGCTGGATGTGTTGAATAGGCTTTATGGATGAGATGAAGTATCGAGGCATTATAGGCCTGTATCAGTTAAGGAGTCAAGAAAACGTCCGAGACAAGCCAATAGCAAATTGGATTATGACAACTAAAATTTTCAACCACCAATCAAGTCTAGGTTTTACAGGTTTCGGATGATTCAAACACATAGATACCTCCTTACCTAGGTAAGTACCTATGTAGAAGTGTCAGTCCCTGATCCGTATTGTAAATTGTATGATACCTGGTAGTCTCCTTCCAGATAAAGTATCAGGCCAATGAATGGGTACTTTGAATCAATTCTACCAGCCTAACAACTGTGTTCCTGCTATTTCCCAATGCTGTTCACACGGCACGGACCATACGAATCCTCATCTGGGCAGCTAGAAGAAGCTTAGACCTAGTATGAGTTGCCACTGTTGGTTGGATAATAGCACTATGGCAACGACACCATCCATAGTAACCACCTAGAGAATTCAACTAGATGATCACCATCACTCTCACCTCTCAACTACTAGTTATCTCAACATACCCTTGAATTTTCTTAAAATTCTTTTAACCCCCATCCCCATCCCCATCCCTACTCCCCAATCGAACGGTACCAACTTTCAGTTTGCATGATATCTATCTCGCCATCGATCAAGTTTCCTACAAAGACGATAATCTTTTCAAAAATTCCCACCCCTCCAAGGGTTAGCTACAGGTATGTAAAGGTATTGACATATTTTACATGTACTCTGAGATACTGCTCCTTCTGTGTATCTGCGGAAAATCTCTAAATTTCGTCACCTGCCTCCTTAATCTTGCCACCGCCTTGTCCATTCTGCCGTTCCTGTTCTGCCATTACACACCACTTCAGATTCCATGGCAAAAGTATTTAACGATCATCTTTCTACTGCTATTGTACATCCATTTTCTTCTTTCCTTTCCTTAACCTACCTATCCACCCCATCTGACAACCACTAACTTACTTTAGGCACCTTACTTGCCCTTTCTTGTAGATAGTGCAAACAGCCATCAGCCAAGGTATGTGCCTACCTTTCTCTTCTTTCCATCAACACATACATGATACATTACATTTACCCATCATTACTCAAACATTAACACCAATCCATAATCTCTACATCTACTCCCATCTTCATCCTTTCTCCACACCTCTTTCACTTCTTCATTTATCATCTTCATCAACATGACCAACACCCACGCATGTTAACATTGGTTCTCTTCATCTCCCATTCTACCTACCTAACCATTTGATCCCGTACATTCCAACGTGTTAACTCTTCCACAGATTAACGCCATACCAATACCTTAATAAGGTTCATATTTCCATGCGCCCACGATATTTCGAATGAACATTACCCGTCACTAACCTGTCGCCTTCTTGTAGTAACCTGTGGTTATACATACATTCTTGCATTGGAGCATCTAGTCTTCAATGGATCTTCAATCATCGGGTCAGCCCTCTCGTTGGGCAAACTCTCGACTGAATCGACGTATTCCGCTAAGTTCGGAAGATAGCGATGACAGTGATTGTGGTAACAGTAGTGGCGGCGGAGGCGTCCCTATTGAACCGCGTTCTTCATCTAGAGCTTCGAGAAAGTCTGAGTCTAGCAGTGCTCAGAACAAGGTTGACGAAACGAAGTCGTCTACCACAAGTACCCATTCGCCCAAATCCAACTCCAGCGAGGAGACGATGAAGGCTACCATTCTCGAATCGGGCTCTAACCGTGATTCTCATGATACCTTGGTTCTGGATGCCGACAAGGCAATCGCCGACACAGCTACTCCTACTGGAATCAACAAGACGGTAATCGACCCTTCCCTTTTCTATTATAAGCCTACAATACTACATGTACCATTTAATGGATACTGTGTGACGGCGTGAATATTGCTTGGACTTGAGTGCTAACAGATTTCTTCTCAATACAGTCTAACACGATCCAAAGCATTGACAACGCTTCTCAATCTTCTGCTAGTGGCCATAACCTTAACGCATACAGTGCTCCTACATTGCACCTTCACGTGGCACATCGATCTATGGATTCTACTATTGGCCAAAGCACCGGCCACATGCACCCTTATTCTTCGGACGGCGCTCTTGAAGGTGTCCCTAGTCTGGCTCAGTCGGGTTATCACGGCGCTCACCGATCTCTGGATTTTGCTATGACGGGACAGCATAATCTATCGCACCAACAAGCTTTGGCTACTGCTACAGAAAGCCTATCGCAGCAAGGACCATCTACTGACCAACGCAAGGGAATTACTCGAACACCGTACAGTAGCCCGGCGATATCCGGAGGTCACAGTCAACATGAGTCGATCGGTGAGAGATCCGTTGATTCTCCTGAGGTGGCAGCTATGCTGTTCTCCAAACTCACCGCTTCAGCTCGTGGAGTCGCCATTAACTCATCTACGTCTACCCCCGGATTCGGTAGAGATACTGGAATCTCCCCTGGATTAGAGGTTCCAAGCCCCATCAAATTTATTGGAAGTTCTGTTGAGACTAACCATGGAAAGGGATTTACCACGCACGGGTCCAGAAGGCCAAGCCCTTTGAGTTCAGTGATGAATTCCAGCGACGACGAGGACGATAACGGAGAATCCTCTCAAAGACAGCTCGCCGGTTCACGGACTACACCTGATGAAGACAGTCGAGAGGGTAACGCTACCCCAAGACCTACCATTCGTGGAAGAAACAATACTGTTCCATCTTTTGATGGACGGCAGCCGCATTTGCGCTCACTTTCTCTGGCCGTTGAGGACCGCACCAGTAACGTGACAGACAACATCAGACGGAGCTCTGAGACAGCAACCGTAGAACACTATGCTCGTGGCTTGCCAGGCAGTGTTTCTGCCGACGCCTTAATGCAAAGGATTGGTACGCCCGCGCCACCGCCTCGACAAAGCACACCGAGCTGCTCTCCCAGCCGCCACGCATCTCCGGGAGGAGTCATTGTCAGACAAGAACAGACCATACCCCTTGTTGATCCACTGGATTTCAATCCTGTACCAGAAGCTATCTGGCAAGTCCGTTCACCCATGTTGAACCAGTTGACAGGCACTGAAGGCCGACCATCGTTGCGAGATATAATCCATCCCTGGTTTGTGCCGTTTTCCGAGAAGTGCAGTTTTATGGAACAGAGCAACGCTGGAGTAATCCGCATCAATAACGTAAGTGGCTCACGGTATTGATATAATGGGAATTCCAAAAAGATGTCGGCTAACAATTAATATCTAGATCCCGTACGAAGTCTCGCGCGCTGAGATATTTGCGTTTCTTGGACGCTCGGCCAACACCCTAATCGATCGAAACGAGCCTATCCACATACTCATGGACCGAACCACAAGCAAAACGAACGAGTGTTATGTAGAGTTTGCTTCATTCGACGAAGCTGTAACAGCAGTCACCCGGTATCAGAATGCCATTGACAATAACATCCATGTGCCTAAAATTGGAAGTCGTGACGTCGAGGTTACCATTTCAAGCCAGGCGATGCTTATGAAGAAGCTATTCCCGATAGCGAAAGGTGTTCTATGGGAGGAGATGCCGTTTCGGATCATCCGTAATGCTCCCCACAGCTGGGATAATTTCACAGGATTCATCACTGAGGAAGAGATGACTTTGCTGTGTAAGCATGTAGAGGGTTACAACAATGTAAGTGTACTCTTTACGCCTTTTCACTCAGGAGTTCCTATTACTAACAGTATCGTCGAACAGCCGGTTTTTTCGAAGCAATGCCCGGAGCGTGCGTATGAATGCATGATCAGCACAGTCAAGAAATATCCCTGGCATATGCCTGAACATATCACGATAAAGGAGCGTGACTGCATGTATGATGCAGGCCTGAGAATGGTTGGACAGCTACAGCGACGAATCAGCAAGGGTGAGAAACCGGAGCGACTGACACCCCAGCTTTTGAGCCGTCTTGCCGAAGCCATTCTTTCTTGTCCTGGATTCAGTATTTCGCAGAAGGACAATGTTGCCTATAGAGCAAATATGCCAGAGCATAAAATGAGAGACCTTGGCCAACCACGTTTTGCGGAGCTGTGGCGTCATTTGCAGGTTCTCAACACCAAGGAAGGCGTTCCTCTCGATATAATTGAAGTATGTAATATCTTCTTTCCTTCCCTTTCCCTATAGTTGGCATACTAACAGCAATTCAACAGTATTATATCGCTGTGGTCCGTGAGGAAACGACTAGGATTGCAGATTTTCAGGGAATTAGCCAGCAGCAGCGACTTCTCGCTGAGCAGAGATCCACCTCCAACTACTGGGGGTTCTTCTAGAAGGAGATTAAACCCCCAGTCGGTCGGGCGATGGAAACACTGACACTTACGGAGAGGGCCGCCCTTGAATGGGACGCGCTTGACAAGGTGCTGCGCCGTGCCGTAGTAGGAGGCGAAATGACGTTCTACGTTTAGGTAGAAGTTGACTAGGTTGCCCTGGAGTTGCATTAGAGAGTCTGATGTTAGGCCACGGAAATCATAGAGGCCTCATGTTGCTATTGCTATTGCTATTGCTTTCGCATTCGCCTTTGCCGTATACTGGCATCATGGATGCTTTCAGGCACACTAGCCTGTAAGAGTATTTGCTAAAGAGAATACCTACTGTTCTCTTTTTCGGTCGTCTATCACGCATTGTCACACTGCGTGTTCCGACAGTCACTCGTTTATTTCCTTCAGAAGATATTTAACTTGCAAAGAATGCAAGTTTCGGACTATGATCAAGGGGTTTTTAACGCACTCGATGTGCTCATGATACCATATGGAGAATGAGAATGAGGGATCGACAGTAGCATCTACACAAGTAGCAAACTTAAATCGATTACGTTTTCCCCTTCAATTATTGTGATAAATGCATTAAGATGTGATCATAGGTTCAAAGTGGGAATGTGTATAATTGACATTTTAATCTGTAGAAGAGATGACGTTGAATTTTACTAATCGCACTTAGGACCCCACATTCATTCATTATATAAGCCCAAAGCTCAAAAATCAGCTTAGGTAATAATCTTACATAATCACGAATTCGGCTTACCTAATCTATATTTTAGCTTGGATTTTAAAACTTCTGAAAAGTTACTTACATAATGATGATTACCTAATAATCAGGATGGGGTTATGCAGGTGGGAACAGTACTTCGTACCTCATGCATCCATGGATATGCACATATTTGGGGAAGCTGTTTTCCACTCCACCTCCACCTCACCTCCACCAACCCGCTGGCCGCATCCCACTTCCATTGGAACTTTTTACCACTGCCAACGACACCTAAAGAAAACAACCTTACACCATTTCCCCTCTCCGACCAAACAGAGGAGCCGCATATACTCACAACCCAAAAATCGATCCCATCTCCGCCTCCTTCTCCTCCTTCTGTCCCAATATTTCCTCTGTTGGATAATCTTCGACCGAAACTCTGTCTGGTCACTGAGCCGACGAGGCGGAAGCCTCTGACCCAATAAACCGACAAACGAGTCAAAAAGCAACCGTCAACACGGCGTCTACCGAGCATCAGCAAGTCCCCGCGACCGGCGGGGGCGCAATTCCAGCAGCGCCTAAGTCGCCGAATCAGATATCAACATCCCCGACAACACCAACCTCTCCCCGCGGAATGGCTGGCTTGACCCGCCCCATCATGCAGTCCATGCCGGACACGCGCCAGCAGTCATTCGAGGAGATCTACGGGCCGCCCGAGAACTTCCTCGAGATAGAGGTACGGTCTCTCTTTGAGCATGGGTGCACATACACGGCACTGCCTGGCGACAATAGATGCGAGAAATTGATCGCGATTGACCTGCTTCCCTCCATCCGTTGCCTTGTTTTCTTCGATGGGTCATCACGCGACACAATAAGATGTGTATTATTGATATTAGTAATAAGAAGCTGACCAATGATTCCTTACACACCCAACAGGTCCGCAATCCGCGCACTCATGGCACCTCACGTAACATGTACACGGACTACGAGATTGTGTGCCGGACCAACATCCCGGCCTTCAAACTGCGCCAGTCGTCGGTACGACGGCGCTATAGTGACTTTGAGTACTTCCGCGACATCCTAGAACGTGAGAGTGCACGTGTCACTATTCCTCCGCTCCCTGGCAAGGTGTTTACCAATCGCTTCTCCGACGACGTAATCGAGGGCCGACGCGCAGGGCTCGAAAAATTCCTCAAGATCGTTGTCGGTCACCCATTGCTTCAGACTGGTAGCAAGGTCCTAGCTGCGTTTGTACAAGGCATGTTACCTTTCCCCCTCTTCTCCCCTCGTCTCGTCTCCTATCCTATCAGGGGGGTCCGACCCACAGCCATGAGCTTTTAAATTGGGAAGACAATTCTCAAAACTGATGTATAAGAGCATCAGCTAGGGATGATCGTAAATGGATACTACATTGGATAGGAGCTGGCTAGCTAACCCGCATTTATAGATCCTAATTGGGATCGCAACGCTTGGTGACTGCGTCTTTTCGACTCGTTGATGATCAGTAATAACGGGTCGCAAATATCCGGCGGTCGTCGTACGCCTAGAAAGCTTCGAAAACGGCCACCGAAGTCACTTCCGGAGACCCATTTGCAGGGGGTAGCGTCGAAACGTAGTAGCTGGGAAACTGAGACGACATTACGATAATCATGAAAGGACGAACCAAAGGGGTTTAGTCGTTACCGTTGTGGTGAATCTCGTGAGATAAGAGAGATGAAGGCTATGAATACATTTTGCTTCGTGATGCCGGCGTGGATTTAGCTGACTTGAGACTAAGAGGTACGGTTCGTGGCTGTGGCCGTGGCCTTGTAAGAAAGAAATATTCAGATTATCCTCCTAGTGGTTTATCAGGAGGTCATTTTTCAATACCTTCAATTCTATCGACATTATATATCAAACCTGTAGTTTCACTACCCCTACTAATTATATCTGAATTGGTTAGACAGGTTACAGAGAATAATGTCACGGAGACTGGAATTTATTCTTTAAATCTTCGATATCCATCTGTTTCCGCAAACAAAATAAAGTGTTGTTCGTCGGAGTTTTCAATTCTTACATCTAATGGGGGAACAGAAGCACGCATAATGATTACATAAGCGTCCATCTTCGGGGATTCAAGGTCATTCCTGTTGTACGTTGGGGCAACATGTCGAACTAACGAAATTGTACCAGCTAAAGCTCTTTGGTACCAATGTGAGTATTGTAAGAAGATATATAAATATACATAACTCGAGACAAGAAATCTATGAATCGTACGAAGTAGAAATGACGATGCAACCCCTGGTAGGTCAATGCAGGTAATGATTAGTCATCATGCAAATACTGTATAAAGATTCGCAGGGTGCAATTAACCGTTAATTCATTATTAATTGATGGTTTGTAAAATTAAACGTTTAAAAAAAAAAAAATTATCGATTACGCGTTTTTTTATTTAAACGTTTATATTTTATATTAATGTTTATTTTTTTTCGAAACGTTTAAAAATTTTAAATATTTAATAAATTTTTAAACGTTAAATATAAAATTTTCGATATATTTAAACGGAAAATTATAAAAATTAATAAATAAATATTTTATTTTAAAATTAATAAATAAATAAATTAAATTAAATAAATTAAATTAAATTATTTAATTTTTTATAAAGTTTTTTATATATATAAAAAATTATTTATAATTTTTACGATTTTTATAATTATAAAATTATTTATTTATTTATTTATTTATTTATAAAAACCGTAATTAAATTAAATTTTAAATTATTAATAAATCGAATAAATTAAAAATTTTAAAAGCGATTTTAATATATATAAAATAAGTATATTTTTCGAAACTTTTTTAAAAATTTAAAAATTTTAAAAAAAAAAAAAAATTAAAAATAAATAAATAAAATTAAAGTTTTATATAAATTTAAAATAAATAAATTAAATTAAAATAATAAAATTAAAATATTAAAAAAATTATATATATTAAATTAAAAACTTTAAATAATTCGAATTATCGTTAAATATTTATTTTAAAAAAACGTTAAACTTTTTTTTAACGTTTAAAAATATATAACGTTTAAATACGAATAATCGTTTAATTTTATAAATATTTAAATAATTAAATATTTATAAAATTAAATTATATATTAATAATTTTAAAAAATATTATACGTTAATTAAAATAAATTAATTTAACGAAATATAAAATTAATAAATTATTAAATAAATTTTTTAATTATTATTAATAAATTATATAATTAAATAATCATTCATTTTTAACTAATTAATCATTTTTCAAATTTATTAATCATCGTTTTTAAATGATTTTGATTAGTCATTTGAATTTTATTACCTAATCATTACTCTGGATGATGATTAGTCATCCTTCATACTTTGAGCCTACTTAGTATGAAACTTTTCCAGATAGAGGAATCTCGCACAAACCAGTATATTCAAAGGATCGATGAGCGGAATCGTTTTTTTATTTCATTTCGTCATATCCCCTCTTTTATTTAGCCCCTTTCCCCCTCAAAACGCCGGATATGCCATCAGCACTTAACCTATGCCCTATACACAAGCAGACCATGCTGTAATTGTCGAGCTGACCTGCTTAGGATATTTACTGATACGAACCCATCAGTCATCCAAACTGGTAACAGCTCAGTATTATCCATACCATTCCGATTCTATCTATTCCCAAGCCTTGCCTGACCTCTATAATTCAGCTTCGTTCTTTTCGTAGGTATACAGTAGTAGTGATATGGTCTCCGTACAATGCATCCGTGTGCTCGTGACGGAGAATCCAGATACTAAGACCTAGCATTTCCTCCAGAAGCTTACAATCCTTAGTTTCCCCAAATCGTGACCAAAGGTATCGCAATAGTCCGCCTACGTAGCAGTAAATTATTTCCCCCCTTTCCACCCTCATATCTCAAGTTAGTATCATTACACAGTCGTCAGATGCCCATGCGCCTTTTTATTCGGGTTCATATCCGTCGAGTTCGCAAAGAGGGGAGTCGTTGTACAGGTTAAGGTTGCAGTCATCTAGCTCTTTGCACCAAGAAGCTTCAGAATGCCTTCGTACATGCCGAACATGATTGCGGCGGAAGGGATTGTGCGCATAAGGTGGGGCGTCAAGCCACCATACAACCCGAGGAAGCCCTCCTCCTTCCATACGAGTTTAAAGCAGTGAACGAGCCCCGTATACTTGGGCCGGCCGTCCGCCATCGGGGCTTGTCTTAGACGTGTGCGAGCGACCTTAATAGTCATGTTAGCTTACTGTTCTTCTGAAGCAATATATGACGCCTGAATTATACTTCGGGGATGTTTTAAAACACTCACCTCATGCGGATATGTCAGTATAGAAGCAATACCCTTGGCCGCACCGGCACCCATGAAGTTGCCGGTCCAATCGACTGTATGGTCCCACCAAGTCTTCTCTCTGCCACTCTTCTCAACTCTCTCCATACGCCGCCTCAATTGACTCTTGAGTTCCTCATACATCATCCACTGCAACGTGCTCTCAGTAACGCCCAGGTAACTAGCGCTGAGGCCTTTGAAAAATCCACGGGGGCCCTCGTCTCGCATAACCTGCTTGATGCAATCCCAGCTATTTCGGTACCTTCGCGCACTCACATCTCCCTTGCGCTCAGCATTATTCTTATCGAGTTGCAGCCGCGTCTTTACCAGCCATATGGGGTTCGTCGCCGTGCCTGTCGCTAATCCAGCCGTTACCGCACTAGCCAGGTGCACTACCGGATTCTCCGGTGATGCGCCCGTCCATTGGGAGTATGCGCGCTTCCCAGTCCCATATGCGTAAAAGTTTATACTTCGCGCCGGAACCACGCCAACAAGGTTGGGCCCTAGACCTTTGAACAGCGCGCGCGATCCTTCTATCCGGTGTACGTCGCGCAGGATCTGTATTGTTTCTTGAAGATGGTATGAGGCGGACTTCAATGGGCCAAGCCGCGCCTGACCTGTCGCTTCCCGTGCTGCCCGGAGTTGAGCTTGGTAAAAATCGGATTGAAGTCTAGTTTTTAGGACGTCGAGTGGTGCGGTTAGGACAGCTGCTGTCATGCCTCCGACGCTATACAGAGAGGCAGAATTAGCGCAAGCCCCATTTCCACGCCTTCTCCGGTGAACCTTTTCTTACTTCGAAAGGAACACGCTTCATATATAGGAAAGAAGGATCTCGAGGAGACGTACCCTCCAGCAACAAGGTGGGGCCAAGATTTGGCAAATGGCGATGGTTTCGTCACTGTTATCTCAGGTGTTACAAGGCCAAGTTCGCGCGACTGTGGCAATGGAGATTGCTGCGGTGTCGGCATACCGCCTTCACGGCGTCCTCTAGTATTGTTCATTGTGTAAGTCGCATGAGAAGATGACTGAGCCATGGCGGCCCTTTTCTTAGATCGCAACCCCTCGTCGGATTGATCGGTAGAGAAAATGTGACAAGGATATTTCGTAGAGCTATCGGCACTCCATTCATAAATTCTGCACGGTTAGAAAAATCATCCAACCGGGGAATTCGAGCGCCCAGTTATTTGTTCAGATTAGAGTTGCAAGACAAAATGCTGGACGTTTTGTTTAAATTACGTCGTTGAAAAAAGTGAATTGGATAACTTTTTTTGACTTTTTTTAGTGGACCCTGCAACGCCACATTTTCTTTGAATTTTTTATTCTTTAATTGATTTCGTCGCGTCAAAGCTAGCGCGCTTCCCGAGACTTATTAAGTGGGTCCCATTTGGCTGTGCCTCATATTATCCACGAGCCTGGTAATCGGGAATTTTACAGGTTGGGGGACGCAGATGCTAGACGCCGCGGCAGGCACCAGGCAAGCACCAGGCAGGTCGCGCCAAAGGAGACCGGGGTGGCAGGGGGTCGAGATGCACTGTACTTACTCACTACCTACCTAAGACATTTAGCTAAACTTCAACATTGAATGTCTTGAATTTATATCAGCATCATCCTAACCCTCTCATCAGAAATTATCCAGTTCGATCCATTTATTTTCAATTTCTTTTCTAGTTCGAATAACCATACGAGATATTCGAACCAGATAAGTCCCACAGCTAGCAGTCATCATGTCGACTATATACGTTGCCTCCAGAATATATACTGTGTATATGTATATACCAACTACTTTATAACCAATCTGCATACATGCGTACAGATTCTCCATCTCTATATACACCTGATCTATCCATAAGCATAACCTCGTTCATTCATTTATTCACTTGAAATACGTTGACTCCCGCGCGAGATCGCAGCAGCATCTGCCGCTGCCGAAGCCGCCGAAGCCATATGACTAAGTATTGACTTTTGTTCCCTGAATGTTCCACTCGGTACCTCCTTTCTTGCGTATTCTTGCCCCTGTCGGATATCTCTTGGATCTATTTCCATAGATTCATGCCGACTGCCCATTGATATGTCCGGTCCTTTACGCCATACATCGTCCACAGGCCTACCAATAGCTATCCTCGACCCTGGTCTACTCGAACTAGGTTCTTCGCTACGTTCCGATTCTCTTTGGTGTTCCCCGAATTCTGGGTGAGATTGAGATCCAAATCCGGTTCTACCAAAATCCCTTGGCTCTTCCCCGTCGTCATCTCCATCCCCATTTGCTTCTCCTTTGAGCCATGTCACCTCCTCTTCCGTAAGTCCCTTCCATACGCATCTGGCATGCTTTTTCGTGCATCCTTGACAAGCTGTCAAATGTTTAATGCATTGCGTTTTGAGCCTTCGACACCGGTCACATGGTGGTTGGATAGAGTCACCGCGTGCTAGTTTCTCGATTTTGGCCGTGACTAGGGCGCGGTTCTCTTCTTCAATATCCCTCACTGCCGGCTCAGCAGAATATCCAGGGGATGGCCGGTTGCTGTTGAGCAATGATTGTTGCTGTATGGGTGCTCTTGGTGTTGATGTAGAAGTCACGATAGCGTTGGGCGTCGGTGGGATAGAGCTGGCGGAGGATATCCGGTGACCAGAAGATTGTGAAGGCGCTTGAAATTGTTGGAGAAGGTCAGCATGTAGGTCGTAACCTGGATTGGCCCCGGAACCCATTGATTGATTTACAGCTTGAAAGCCTGGACCGGGGGCTGATTGCGATGCGCGACGCGTGTGTATCGATGCCTTTCGTCCGATTAAGTGGTAGTTGAGTTGGCGGGCCCTACGCGCCACCTCGTCTGCCTTCTTGATCAAGACTTGTAAACGCTGTTCAACAATCTCGAGAGTTGCCAACTCTGCAGTTTCATCTTCCTCTAGTGGCTGTGGCGGTACAAGCCTAAACCTGTCCAGAGCACCAGAAACTATGAGTCTCCAATCATCTTCTCCAATTTCTACCTGGACACCTTTTAGGGGAAATTGGCAACAACGCGCCCCGTTGGGAGTGGGTGTCAACACAAATTCACCAGGCTTCGCTTTGGCAAACTCGACAATGTCGAGCCATGTAACGGTATCCGGACTAAATGCTGTCTGCGCCGGAGTTGTCGTTATTGAACCTTCGAAAGCTCCCTCCATCGCCTTCAGTAAACGACTGCCTGTCAGCTTTGCGCCTAAATTAGATGCCAGACTTTCATGTCTATTCAACACCCCTAATTGTTGTATTAGTATAAAACACACGGTAAAGGGGAGTAGTCTCTCACCCTCGTATTCATTAACTAAAGCAAGAACATCGGAAAATGTATCGCTGTCACCCTGGATGAGTTTGAGCTTCACCGAGTGGGCTTTAGATAGATAGTTTATAGGGGCTATGTTGCCTTAGGAGTTGGCCCGTCAGTATTTTAACTTGGGACACACAGGTACACTCGGATTATGATCGGAAATAATCGATAGATAATTTTATGAGGAAATAGCATTGCAGCGTGGAATGGAGATATGGTACATGTACAGAAATTTTTCATAATAAGACACATCGGCGACACGAAGGTAGTGAGCCAGTGTTACATATGAAATGAGACATGCCGAAATCGTGACATAGTCTCCCAAGCAGCGGTTACCTATGGGGATGCAGGTGCGTGTAAGTGAGAGAATATGTGGGTGGGCAGGACTTACCTGGCTGAGGCGGAGGCGGTTGTGGTATGCGGTCAGCATTGTCATCGGATATATCTCGTTTTCGTTTATGTTGATCAGAATCTGGATTGTGTGCCATAATGGCACATCTCGCACTTTTGGAGGTTTACGAAGGCCTCTTTTAAACTCCTGTGGGAATCTTGATATACAAAGTGCTCAGCAGTATTAGCTGCTCTAAAGTAACCGACAGACCCGCCCAATTAATCCCGTCGATAGCAAACAAAGGCTAACATGTGCAAGTATAACGCAGAACGAGCGGGGATTCGCTTGATACTGCTATTCCCGTCCGAGGTTCTGGGGGTTTGAGAAAGGAACGTATTATAAGGGCAAAAAACAGCGAGAGGAGGCTTTATTACGAATTAGTGTTCCAGGCTGCGGATAGGCTGAGAATTGCTAAACCCCCGGAAACGGTAGGCAGGTTGCGAGGTTAGGCCTGCCGAGCTTCTGGGCTGTTTTGAGCTCGGCGGTCGTCATAGGAATTAACCCTCGTATGGAGAAAGTAACTTTAGATAAGGGGGAACCGGTCAGAACGAACGAATGAACGAATGAAATGAAATGAGGACAGAAGAGAAGGGTAGTAGATAAATGTATATGGATGTATGTATGAATTTATGGATTTATGGATATAGGTGTGTTAAAGTAAGCAGGTGAGTTGATGATACTCAGCCAGAGTACAGCCTCGACGCAAATAGAAAATACGGAGTAGACTACCGTGTAGGTAGACCTTGTAGGCCTGGGTAGTAGTATACCTGAACGCGCAGAGGGTGGACAAGACAGGGAATTTCGGAAATTGGGGTTGGATCGATTAGGCGCGGGGCTTGAAATAATATACTGTATTGTACTTACAAGCATTAACGTTGGATATCTCAGTAAAGTACGGAGCGATAACTGAATCGACAAGGTATAGATATGGGTAAGGGGTATAAGAATAAGAAGTGGTGTTCTCTTTTTCAAAGTGGGATGTTGAAGTGAGAAAAAAAACCATTAAAAAAACTGGCTATAGACTAAAGATAGAAGATATCCATGGATATGGGCTGCAATGAATAGTTTGCTAGAAATAGGTTGGAATTAGAATTGGAATTGGCGAAGTGGGTAGGTAGGTACTTTGTAAGTTGGTTGGCGCTTTCCTATGTGGTTTAGGTATGTAATAACACCCGATACCTAGTAAGTAGCTTCCAACTCATGTTTTCAAGAACTTTTTAAGCTACTCACTAGACCAATTAGGTCAAGGTAAAAAGAAGCACAAGCCAACAATTGATCTGGTAGGTTATGATTAGCATTATATCGACCTCGACCTTAACCTCGAAACCTCTTCTTCAATGTCTTTACTTTGACATACTTCCTTTCCAAGCACCTCAATTCCATCCAATGAAGTAAGACCTGGTATGTGATAAAAAGTCTCGGTTGGCTACATGTGCGTGTGTTACGGAAAAGAGACCGAAGCTCTTCAATCCTTTCCTCTATTTCCTTTTTGTCGATCTCTTCACATTGTCCTCGCCAGTCTCGGACCTTGGACCCTTCACCATTCCCTGGACTTAGCCACATCCAGGAGAAGATCATCCGCGCTGAATTCCGCTGTTAAAGGCTTCCCGATTATGTGATCCTATGCCGCCGCACCGAAGAAGAAAAAGATCGACGTGCCACATCTCCTTGGCGTTGAAACCCACCTATGGTGACGGGCTTGAGGTGCATTGCTAGGCTCGATAAACGTTTTGGATGGACACGATCTTGAACGAATGTTATTCGGTGTCTTCTCAGCTCAGGGTTTCACTTCGATGTTTCATCAGAAAGAGATAGCCGTAATGAATGCCTACTTACGATAGGTACCTACCTAGTAGGCAAGCCTAGACAACGAGGTGTACGATGAACAATCTGAAGATTTGTTGCAGAAAGCTAGCGTATTTATTGACAAAATTAAGTACTTGGTTTTTCTTTTCTTTTCTTTTCTTTTCTTTTTTTCCCTCCCTCACTTCGACATCGACCATCTCCCCCGCACCCAACGGTCAATTATTACCGGTACGAACAAGTCGTATACCTACTACAGCTCGAGGCACAGGAATGTGATATGTCCGATTGTCATACTCTGCAGCTACAATCCCTGTGAGCCGCTAGAGGTTGTAAGTAGATGAGGCCCCTACCAAGCCTACGAGCCTACATCCCTACGGTTGCAGCACACTACCTGGATGCCGCGTACAAGCCGCTAGCGCTCCGTCGGGTTTCCTTAAAGTGCTTTCAAACGCCCCTCTATAAGCAGCCCTAGCTAAAGCGAACAAGCCACCCAAGCCCCCCTTGGAACCCCTTCACACGGCACAGACTAAGACAGAAGCGTTCCAGAACAACAGCCAAAAGTCCAAGACATTGCCTCGCCCTTTTTGCCCCTCCTACCGGTCTTTTTACAGCCTTAAGTAAATTAGAGAGTAGCCTTACCGCGGGGCGCTTAAGCAATATCGAGCCTAGCGTCCGTGCCGCTCTTACTTAAGGCTACATATCATCGGTCAAGTTACGAGGGTTGCACAATTTTTGCAGAGAAAACGGTAGACCGGTGAGCGATAACCGTTTGACCGAGTATTGAGACATTATGCGGCTTGTCCAATGACGTGGAAAGGATATATAGTCGAATACGATATATGTATCTTGCTTATAGATGACTAGTTTCGTTACGTACTCACTTCTAGTATGCATGCAATTTTAGGCACACTTAGCTACATAAAGTACTCATAATACGTTACCACCTCGGTATGTCATATCCGAACAGCTGATATACTACTCACCCACGAAGAAAATACGGTAACGCGTCACTCTTAACAGAATATGGGATCGAATGTTGGGGTTCACATGATTTCCCATATAACAAATCATATTTTGAACACTCCAGCTGGAGCTTCACCCTACAAAACAGAAACCAAAAAAACTCTCATAAGGTCATTATAAGCCCTAGTTACCTAGTCCTTGCGGATACCCATGGGGCTAAGCCCTGCCTCCCCGATGCCTGTATAACAGGGTTGAAGTCAAGGTTCGGTGCTCGCGGGTAGCTAGTTGATGTTACCAAAGTTCCCGCGAGCGGAGGCAAGTCCATGAGAATAAGGTAGAGAAAATGCAAACCCCATACTATCCATATCGTACCTCGGAATTGTAGCTAACAAAGTACAATGCTCCACGTAGAGAAAGGAAGTTCGCATTAAATCTCCCCCAAAAATCCCTTCATCGTCCCGGACTCTTCCGCAAACTTCGGCGGTTCGTGCATTTCGGTTTGACCCGGAGAGTTATATTCGCTACTTGAGCTCTCTTTCGCTTCTTCCTCTTTCTTCTTGTCTTTCTGGAAATTTGACGGCAGGAGCCGGCTCAACATGGCAATAAACCTCATTCATAGCCCTGGAGGTTAGCGTTGTTTACTGAGAACCAACAGATCAGAACAGAGCAGAACATAGTGCATGTCGAGTCTCTCGGCGTCTACTTGTCATACCGTACTATATTACGGATAATATGGAAGGATTTTGTTAGTCGACTAGCAGCGGTAGAGGTCGGGAATAGGGGAGAATAGACTCAATTTCCAAAACGCCATTGCAGAATGGTGACGATATAAAATCCGTTTCTTACGGCTGGTAGCTGCCACGAGGTATAGATGGTATACGTATACCACCTTATGTATATAAAATCGTTATAGGAAGTGGCAGCTCAGGCTAAAAGCGGCCATATTTAGATAAGTACATAGATACTTAGCCCTAGAGATGTTTAAAGTTGCTCAGATTGAACATTTGAACTTGTTACGAGGAAGTAGTAGTGGGGTAGATCAGCTCTCCAAGCGCCCCATTTATTCGTATGTCTTTTATCCAATGAAAAGTGACAGCGCAAAAAAAGCAATCAACTTTCTCCCCATATCAATGCTATGATCGACGGCGGACTGCAAAGTGGCAGACAGCAACATAATCACCTGGCACACACTTCCCGCCCGGCATACCTTCTACGAGAGAAAAGTCAATCACGGGGAATCTGATCTAAATACGACTTGCTACGCGTAAAAAATAAACCCGGTCCGAATTAACTGCAAGGTTTCGCAAACGCCCGACGATAACCTCGTTCAGTTCCAGTACCAATCTCTCAGTCTTTCAATCTCGATACCTCCCTCGTCGATACCCGTTGCAACGGTAGCCGTGCTAGCCTGCGACACCGATTCGTCACCGAACGGCCTAGACCACCGCAACCCCCTATCTCTGCATCTCCCTCCAGCTTCCGAAACTAGCTCTAAGGGCGAATACCTGGTCGTCCCGTCCTTTTCCCCCCCTTCACCGCATCTTTTTCGGCCGTCTCCCCCCTAGAACGAGAACGAGAAGAACCCGCCCCCCTCTCCATCGCAGTACATCGAATTTACATCTCGCCCCAGCGGAAAACCTGTGTATCGCCCACCCACCGCACCTACGGAAACCCAAGAATGGCCGACCGTGCCCATTACCGCGGCGGTCGAGGAGGCGGCGGACATCCCCGCGGAGCGCGGGGCGGACGAGGTGGCGGGAGAGGCGGACACGGAGCTGACTCGGGCGCTAGCGGCGGCGGCGCATCCCAGGAGCGGGAGCGTCCCAAGAAGGAGAACATCCTAGACCTTAGCAAATACGTCGATAAGAGGATCACAGTTAAATTCAACGGCGGTCGAGAAGGTAAGCTGCAGATCTTTCCCATTCCCCTCCACCCTGCTTGCATCGTCCGGTCGCATATCGGACTACATGCCGTCGAACTAGGTAGTAGCGGACCAGGGCTAATCATGACATCGCCGTCTAGTTACTGGTACACTAAAGGGCTATGATGCGCTGATGAATTTGGTTCTTGACGAAGTACAAGAAGTCATGCGAGGTTAGTCGACCCCTTATTTACCTAGCATGTCTAGGAAGAGACTAACACCTATCCCTACATAGACGAAGAGGGTAAGGAAGCGACCCGCTCACTTGGTCTGGTGGTTGCCCGAGGTACTCTGCTGGTGGTTATCAGTCCAGTAGATGGAAGCGAGGAGATTGAGAATCCCTTTGCTCAACAGTCGGAAGACTGAGGCTGTGAAGGATGAGATGTCCTCAAGGAGATTATGATAATGAGAACGTATCGGGCTGTGAGACATACTCTCCAGCTTTATTATGAGAGGAGGTACCTGGCAATCAACTTCACCGATTCACAATCGGATTTCATGTTGAAAAGAGCCACGATGTGGGCTGCATGAGGATATATCCTTCATGTTATGAATGACCGGCGAACGAGAGGGACTCGTTAGCAGATAAGTCACTGCGTTATCGCCCATCGGCAACGAGATAAAAAGAAAACAACATCAAACAACGTGTTTTATTTTGAACGTGAAAGCAGGAGCCTCTCATCATGGTTGACGTTTGTAAACATGAAATAGGGAAACTCTACTGCTTACATAATAAGACATGAATGTTAATTTGTACTGGGTACCTAGTTAAATCATAACACCACATCACATCGTCGACAAAGCCGTCCTTAGACGATGCATATGATGAACAGTAAGAAACTTTGCTTGTATTCTACTTTATACTTCGATAGATATATTTAATCAACCGCAACGTCACCTGCCTATACTTTCTCAACCCCTCACCTCTCATTCGAAACTGCGAGAAAAACAAGTTGCTATCGTTGTCCTTCCCCTTATAGTCCAGCCAAACACGTTCCTGCCAGCAACGATAGCAGGTCATAACTCCTGAAAAGAGCATCGCTTTAATGCAACTCTTCTGTATCGGAGTATTCAACAAGGTAGCATGCCCAAATATAGTCCAATACGGCATATCAACTCATCTCTTGATAGTAATCCTTCGTTTCATTATCTGCGGCTGAAAGCGGAGGTAGTGACTACCTCTGCTTATAGTTTATCATTTGTCGTTATTCTCGCGGTCGAGATTTCAGTCAACGGTTCGTCTCGTTGGCTGTTTCATTGTTGAGAATTCTAACGAGACCTGCTATAGATGGGTCCCGTCTTCAATGCCCGTTGCCATCGTGTGCTATTTCCAACATCCCTGCGAAACTCTTCATCCCTTTCCCCTAAGACTTTCCGAATTCAGAAATCTGTCGTATATTCTTGAGCCCTGACTTTACCATCGAGGTCTCCTAATATATTGCTTCGACCCTCTAATTGGATAGTTCATTGGAGAGTTTATTGGAGAGGCCATTGGATAGTTCATTGAAGAGGCCACTGGATAGGTCGTTGGACAGTTCCTCGAATGGTTCGTCGGATGGCGAGTTCTTGGTCTCGGAGAATCATCTGCTGACCGTGAAATGTGGCCAGCACGTTTCTTGTTCTAATAGCCTCGGCTGGTCTGCGGTTTATTGCTTGCCTTAAACAGGTCGTGAAAAGCACTCTGGGCCTGCTTCTTCAATTCTTTATATGACACCACGAAAGTTGATTGGTGATCCCGACTCGTAAGATAAATTCTTTCATCAACACCGGCGTCTAACTTATTTAGGCAGCTAATGATATGTCCAAGGTCAATAACTGGATTTCCTTGGGCATCGACCTGGTGAAAGACGTAATCTCGGAATAACTTCAAGGTGTAGCGTTCCGAGTTTTCGGCCCAGTTAGGGTCGTTGTCAAACTCCGGTCGCTCGTTGATGGAACCTAATTTCGCCATTAGCCGTACCAACCGACCATTTTCGAGTTCCCTGCCTAGGTGAGTAACAGTCTCGTCCTGAGCATTGAATGATGCTACTAGCACATCATCGGCATGTTGAGCAAGGTCATACACCAAATGTTCCGCTGTCTTCTCCGGTATATTCTGTGGCGGGCTTAGTAGCCACGATATCCTCTCCTTGAGCTCAGGTGAATAGGTCCTGGATAATTGGTCCAGAGGTAAGCGTAGGTCGCCAAGGTTTCTAACCGGCGTATTAGTCGCGATGCTTAGGATGAGTCGGCCCAGGTTAAAGAAGTCCTCCTGCTGTAATTCCTCGATCCGGCGGGGTATTTCGAAATGAAGTACATCTAGAATAGAGCATGCACTGAGCCTGATACGATTCTTGTCCGTTAAAATCACCTTGCTTAGGTCAATACAGCGTGCTGCGAGCTTGGCTTTGTGGATGGCCTTGATAGCACTCGCGAGCTGAACCAGATAACTCCATAATATCTTCTCCGAAACAGGTTGGGGGCGCCCAAAGCGGTTGCTAGGGAAGTGATACTCCGATAGTGTTTTCGAAAGAGGGTGATAACTGTGTACAAACACGAGTGAGCTGTCATTAAAGTCCCTTGTCGTGAATGCTTCGATCGTTGTAACTATGTTTGGGTGGATGATCTTCTTCCACGAATTCACAGCTTTGATTGCTTCCTCATTAGTGAGGCGGAATCCTGTAATTAGTTTAGGAGGATGTTCATTTCGCTAAGTGTGGAGACCGACCTTCAATTCGTCTCAAGCAGAATATATTCCCATTCTTTCTGGAAGTTGCCTTGAACACCCAACTCGGAAGCCCTAGGATATTGGTCGCGCTTCGGAGTTTGGTATCTAGAGGCACAAGGGAGTGATAATGCTGGAGGGTGGGTAGCTGCACTCCAGGTTGGCTCGGGAGTACTTGTCTGGCAGCCTCGGACTTTTTCTGGAGGTCCTCCCTGATAGGATCGGGAAGAAATAAGTCGAATACTTGTTTCTGGTAAGGCTGTAGATTTTCCCTTCCTGATGTGATGGGGTAATAAAGATGGTATTGAAGCTAAGGGTAATTAGAATTTGATTCAGGGTAGATAATGCAAGAATCAAGAACTTACCGGTTGAGACGGAGCAGCGTAAGAATTCTGAGCCGCATAGTATGGAGCACCAGCACCAGCTAAGGCGCTGTGGTCCTCTGCGTAAGGGTTATACTGCGCCGATGGAAGCGCCTGGTTAACAGTAGACATAGTAAACGGATCGTAGCCGAGGGACCCGCTGTCTGTTGAACCGTTGGTTGCAGTCTGGATCTTGTCAACATGGGCCTTGAAACAAACTCTTTTCAACTTACCGCAGTATTCAAATCGTAATTCTGGGGAGCGAAATCGGCAAATGGTGCTGATTTGTATAATGAGGCTCCAGTATCTTGCTGCAAGGCTGAGATTGTAGCCATCGTTAATATAAGCGCATACATAGTTTTAGGGGATTGACATATAGGGTTTCCTTACATGCAGAGGCTCCTCTAGGGGTGAAGGGGGTAGCATTTGTCGAGAAGTTGGATTTTTTACCCCCAAGTTGAGTAGGAGTGAATGAAGGAGATTCGACATTCAAAGATTTCTTTGCGCTACCACTAGAAGATAAATTAGTAACCCTATTGTGTGATGTAACATGGGAAAAATCAGAGCTAAGAGGCATATTCGAGCTGGTTCCGTCGCTATGAAATGGCTTATGCCCCTTTTGGTAGCGTTCCGGAACAAGGTACCGAATTGAGGTGTGGGAGTCTTCATTTGGTAACTTGACGGTGATTCGAGTTGAATGGGGTGCTGAAATTGAACGGGTAGTAGCGTTGAATTGTTGGTGTCCGTGGGAAACAGTAGAATCATGGGAGTGAGCAGTCTCGTAGCCTTCTGTGCTAGGGCTAGGTGGTGAGTGTAGGTTTGATTTGCTATTGTTCAATTCCCCCCCATTAGGGCTTGTAGCTGGTGAATCGACGATAGAAGGAGGTGGTGGGGTGGTCTTCTCAAAGGCCAATTGAGAAGAACTGAACGTTGTTGGCATAGAAGCCACACGATGTTGGTGCGCTGCACATGGGTCTTCATGATTTGTTGATTGCAAAGGAGGGAATTCCACCATGGAATCAATGTCTATGTCCATTTTGCAAATTTCATCTGATTCATCCATCACTTCTATTCTGCATTGCCTGCCGTTGTTGTGTACTGCCGCCGGAATATTCCAAGGGAACTAGGGAACCAGGTTTCTTCGTCCGGTAGAGTCTTGTAGATGGCTGAAGAGAACCTCAACAACTTCCGCTAAGCCGTGCTAAATTGTCTTTGACATCCAACGGCTTAACGTATTGGTTGATGTTGCTATACAGTCCAGCCGAGACCCCAGATACGTAATTCTATAAGTTGCCGTGGATATCGTGTAGGAAACTTGCGTAGTATCATAGCACACGGGCCAGCCAAAATTGTCCATCGGGTGGAACTCGAAGCGATATGAAAACAAAGCATAATAAATCAGAGTGACTTACTTATCTAATGAGTTAGAGGATCCTTTATCATGATTGAAGGTGCAGCCCTGGTCCTCATAACGGCAGTGGCCATAGATTAACACGTTTCGACAGAGAGTATCCTTATTATCTAAGAAGGCGCACATACATTAGATTGATGTCCATGGTAATCTCGACAATGGCTACAGTGATGGGGTAAGCGCTTACCGCGCGTCTTAGGTCTAGGGGAGGCCATTTGCCTCCCTCTATCGGCAGTGCTGAAGCGCGTGTTCGCCATTTGTAATGTGTGGTATGGAATCTCGTATTCTCGTCATGGAGTAATCGCGATTGTCAGGATTTGAAACTGGGAGGAGAGGAAATGTCGCCCTTTTCGATACGACGCCTAGAGTAAAGGCTTTATTAGCGATAGTGTAAACGTGTATATTTGGAAGGGGAAGGAGAAGGAAAAAGAGAAAGGGCGAAGAATATGTGGTTCGGAAGGGATATGCGAATTGTACCTACTGAACACCTCAAAGCGCTCCCATTTTTCTAGCCAGAAGGGGCGAGGGCTCGCCCGTAAAAATTGATATGACGCGCAGCAAAAGTGTGTAGATGATAAAAACAAAATTCTGTGTATCAATTGGGACCTCTACGTGAAAAGTGAGGGTGAGGCTGGCGATAAGGATATAAAGAAAGGATGCGGCGTGTCAAGGTTCAACCGACTGGAGGTTGTACTGTGTAGTGGGATGACGGCGGAGGATTACTAAGGCAGGATAACTGTTTGATTGGCTCTTGATACCCTTGTATTTGACGCCAAGATGTCCCTCCTTCTCAGCCTTGGGTTTCAATTTGTGGTTACGGAAGGCGCTAGACTACTTATAGTATGTTGAGAGCTTCATACTAACCCCTTTCAGATCAGGCTATAAACTCGGTACCGCATATTATACAATTAATAAAGTTCACTAATATAAATAAGGAAAAGTCTAAACACATTTCCCCAACTTTACAAATATTTACATAGAATTAAATAATAATTAGTCCATTTATCAATCCGGGTTGGCCACTAAATTTTACATCCTCCGGCTGCCTTGTCGTCACCTCCGATGCAGCAGTGCAGTTAACTTATGCAATTCATCTATCTACCATCCTCCATCATTCCATCCTACCATCCTAATAGGTGGGTCCACCAACATTTGAACACGAAAGCCTCACCAGCTTCTATCTTCCTATTAGATGTCGCTTAGCCTCACCTATTCTCCCACTGTACTTAGACTGTATTTACAACTAATGATCCATATTTTACAGCCTCTCTAATACAACCAACAGAACCTGTTGGGGCAGCAAAGCTCTACGTAATACTCGACTCGATCTCACGTGCGAGGCTGAATCCGAAATTGTATATCCGGTTCGGAACTATACTAGCTGCCTAGATAGCTACCTACCTACATAGCTCTTATTATCCGGGCACCAGCAATGGTATCATTCCACAACCGCCTTGATCATATGATATGACGCATGGGGGAATCTTGATATCGAGCTACACACACCTTTCCAACCGTCAGCCGTGCACTTTGCAAGATGGCAGATAACGGCGTCGATCTAAGCCAGCTCTCTGCCGAGCAGCAGTCTGCTCTTGAACAATACACTCAAGTCACAGCACAGGATATTAAGGATGCGGTGCCGTTACTAGAAAGGTCGCAATGGAATGTTCAGATAGCAATATCCAAGTTCTTTGATGGCGAAGGCCCCGATCCCGTTGCCGAAGCCATCGAAGCACAGAACCATATTCCGCGGCAGGCGGCAAGGCACGAGAATCTACAGGAAAGCTTCATGGCGTCCTCGCGACCCTCCGGGCGTGCATTACCACGAGCTAGACCAGATCCTGCCCCGAGAATCGTACCGCAACCTCAGACAACCCACCGCACGCCACTCCTCTTCTCCATAATATTCTCTCCTTTCACCTTCGGATTCAGAGCCGTTTCGACGCTCTTCCGCACATTCCTATACATATTTGCATTTCTACCAGCATCGGTACGGCCACGGGCGATAACGACGACTATGACAAGCGGGTGGAAGGGCACGATGGGCCGGCGCATGCTCATGCCGCGGGATACAGCCGCCCGATTCAAGCGGGAGTTTGAGGAGGAGTACGGGAACACTAGTCTACCCTGGCATGAGGGCGGCTTCGCCCAAGCCCTCGACCTTGCTAAATCAGAGCTCAAGTTCCTTCTTATCGTGTTAATGTCTCCCGAGCATGATGACACCGAGTCCTATACGCGAGAGACCCTTCTCTCCCCAGAGACCGTAAATTTCATCAACGACCCCGCGAACAACATCGTCTTATGGGGTGGCAATGTCCTCGACTCCGAGGCTTACCAAGTCGCCGCCGAGTACAACTGCACCAAGTTCCCCTTCTCGTGTCTTGTGTGCCTAACCCCCAAGGAAGGCAGCACCCGCATGAGCATCGTTAAGCGCCTCGTTGGGCCCATGTCCCCGCAAACTTATGTCGCTGAGATCCAGACTGCTATTAACAAATATGCTCCGGACCTAGTCGGCGTGCGCGCCGATCGCGCTGCCCAGGACCTCGCCCGCAACCTACGCACTGAGCAAGACGACGCATACGAGCGCTCTCTGGCCCGCGATAGGGAACGCACCCGCCAGCGCAAAGAGGCTGAGGCCGCGGCTAAGCTGGCGGAGCAGCGCGCTATAGAGCAGGTCCAGGCCGCCGAGCTACTCGCCCAGAAACGCGAGCAGTGGAGGCGCTGGCGTGCGACTACTATCATCCCCGAGCCAGACTCTAGCGCCAGCCCTAAGGATGTCGTGCGGCTAGCGTTAAAAATGCCGGATAATGCGGGAGGCAGAGTGGTACGTCGGTTTGCGGCTTCAACGACGGTGGAAGAGCTATACGCATTCGTTGAGTGCTACGAATTACTAGCGAACCCGGATGAAGAGATCAACATCGAGAAAGAAAGCGGGGAAGAATCGGACCGCGAGCGTCCCGAGGACTATATCCACAAGTACAAGTTCCGGATCGCGGCGCCGATGCCAAGGATAGTGTACGAGCCAGACGAGACTGCTACGCTAGGAAGCACTATCGGGAGATCCGGGAATCTTATAGTAGAGACTCTGATCTCCGATGAGGACGATGATGAGAGTGAAGAGGAATCTAGTAGTGATGAATAGGATGTTGAGTAAATAAGATATCCAGACATCCAAGCTTATCTTGCGCGATTGATTTATTGTAATAATCGTGTAATAAAGCCACTCACCTACAATAACAGTTTAGTCTGCCATTTCGTGATTATATTATGCTATGTAGATTGGACAATGCTGCTAGCTTACTAGCAAAATATGATGTTCCATGTAGAACCATATAGGTACCTAGTATTAATACACAGGTCCATTGCCCACCCCTTTTTAACCCCTTCCAAACACCACCCATCATGTTCTCATACTTATCCATTATACAAAATTTCTACAAGGCATATCTTCGAAATCAATATCACGAGGACGCCTCTATCACACAAGGCAGCACCGCTAATTTCGACGTGCTAGGACAAACCACCATGCAAATCTGGTTGCACAACACAGCTGTATTGAAGTATGAGCATTTTGATAAATAAAAAATGAGCTAATTTCGCGGGTATTGTTTACCTGTTCAGTTTATAAACAACTGCTCCCATTTTCCTGCCTTGCCTCCATACGCGTGACATTATCGTAAAAGGAGGGACGAGAGAAGCTCTGTACGGATTAGCAGAAGAGGTTTCACCCTATCTGTGGAAGAACCAGCTCATAACTCCTCGTTTACGAATAGCCCCTTCTGCGTAGTACGTATACAAAAAAAGCTAAGATGATCAGGCCATTAGGCATTAGTGACCTTGTTGATTATCCTTAGCAAACCTCTGGTGGATCCGTGCGATCTGTTCGTCGACATTTACGCTCTGCATATGATTGATATGCGCTTGGTTTCTAGAGTCAGGATTGCCGTCGAAGCTGTTCAATGCCGTCCGCTTCCTTCTCGCCACTTCTTCCTCCGAAATTGGTTGTCCAGTCACGCCATCAAACAAGTCACCTCGCTGGCTTGCAAATCGTTTTAAGTTATTAGCAACGTCGGAGTGTGACAGATTCGTAGTGGCATATCGCGATTCGGCCTTCGCCTTCTGCTCTTTCCATTGGGGATCCAGTAGCTCAATCCTCATATGCGCCTCTAGCTCGTTCATCGGGATTTGCTGGTGACAGTTTGGACAGAGAGCCATCTGTGTACCTTGTCGATTGGCCGCTCGCGCAGCAGCACGAGGAACGTAGTTTTCTTTAATCTTCATAGGGGCGGCACCACCCTTAGCCTCAGCCTGTGCATGTTGCATCCGCATCCTCGCCTCTTCTCTTTCGCGTATTCGTTGTGTTTCTTCATCTTCTTGAACACCGTTCGGGCGTGGTGGCGGTGCCATCTGATAGGCAGCTTGGGGTAGCGTGGGGACTGATGGATGTAGTTGGGTTTGTGCGGGATGATGAGGAAGGTTATAATTGGGTTGCGCCCCATATCCGTTGTAGGTGTTATCGTCATCCGTCGGCATAGCTTCCTCAATACGCAGGTTAGCACTGACGGAAATCTTGGCCTTCTGTTCAAGTGAAGCATATTGCAATTCAGAGAGAGAAGTTGGCGGGGGTAGATTTGCTTGGTCATCAGCTTCGGTAAAGACGACGGTCTCGACAACAACGAAGTCGTGCCAGTCGATTTGGGCATATGTTAATCGTTCCTTTTCCTCGTCTTCTTCCTTCTTCTGCTTCTCATCTTCTTGATGCTTCAACCACTCTGCTCTGTCTTTCGCTCGGTTCAGGATGTGGAATTTATCGTCAACATTGCGTCGTAGTTCGGTGATCCTCTCCTGCTGAACCTTTCCTCCTTCTCCGTCGATTCCACCGGCTCGCAGGAGCATGGTGTATTGATCGATCAAATGCTGGAAGAAATTGTGAAGACTGTGATTCGGCCGTAAAAAGTCAAATTGATAATTGCCAGCCTCCCGTTGAGAGAGAGCGGTCATGAACTGCCTGCCATTCTTTGCAACAAACAGAGCAGTCAGTTTCACAACCTCGAGATCCTGGGCGCTGATGTTGGGCATACGGGCGGAGAATTGAAAGTCAGAAGGCTTAGGAGGGCCCTCAGGTTTTGTCTCTACCACAACAGCAGCTTCACCTGCCCGGCCAGCAGCGACGGCAGTGCCGCGACCCTCCTTAATCTCACTCAGCCTCCACAGGTAAAAAGGGTTATAAGGGTCGGCATTGCTGAGGAAGCTGAATTTCGGATTATGTTTCTCTTTTTCTCGGATGCGATCTTCGAATGCGAGGCCATTTCGGGCGACGAATCCGGCGGTCTTCTCGAGGATAGCTATAGATAGATCAGCTAAGCGCAAGCTGGAAGGCGATGATGCTCAATTTTCGACTTACTTCTGAATTCCTTGGGTGGCAGGACTATACCCTGAGGGGGTTTGATGTCGTCTAAAACTGCTGCATCACCATTAGTCGCGGCCATGTTGATGGCAGTTTCAGAGCCTCCCTCAAAATTGTATGTGTAGTGGATGTGGGTGTGAGGGTGAACGCGACTGTGGAGGCTGAACCGGAAAAAAGTCGCTAGTATTGGTTGAGATGTATGATGTTGCAGTAGGGAAGCTCTGACAAAATTATCGTCAAGGTTCGGTTTCTAGAGCGGTCCGGGGTACACCGTAAACGCGTTAATATATAATCCGAAGTTTTAACCAATCAGTTAAGTCTAAATCTTGCATCGACGCCAAGAGCTTTAACTTAAAATGATAGCAGGCACCGTCGTCTTTTATCCGTAATATACAGGGATACCTTGAATAGCTTGGTATCTGGGGGAGGATTCTTAATTGCAATTGTAATTGAGGGTGAGATTTATGGACCATTCTGCCAATATCTTGCGATTTTGTTTGAAAATGTCAATTCATTATTCATCAAGGTAACACAATCAATACTCTATCTAGCCCGTCTAGGTAGGTATGTATTTACATACCATACATAAAAGGTCATCGCACGATACACGTACGGCATAAATCAATTACGGAATTGCGGGGCTCGTAAAGCTTCGATTCGCGTAAGGTTGTACGAAAATGCGTGTTAATTATTTCACGAGGCTTTGTATGTACTTTGTACATGTAGCGAATTAATTCAATGTTCATCAAATGGGGCCATCTGTCAGAGGCAGTTGCAGCTGAATCTTTTTTTGGAGAGAGACCCCATACGCAAAACCCCCCTGCGCTAATCTACATACTATCCGCCAAACTGGATAAGGCCACTGTAGCATCTAAACGATTACGCGGTTGACCCATGCAAACTGAATTTTGATGGTTATCCCTAATTGGCCAATACAATTCATTGGGAAGGAACCGAAGGACTTAGGTACTTCTTAGAGAGCATTAAACAGCCCTGGAGCAGAAAAGCTCAAAATAATTTCTGACGCCGTATTCACCATTCCCATTCTACCACCCCTTACCCTCTAAATCCCCTTCAGCCCTCTTTCTAACTTTCATCCCGCTACATTTGCGACCAAAGGGGGGAAAGACTCTTTAATTATCCTATTCTCTTTGAATGGGGTTTTCATTGTCCTATTGTCTTCTTGTAATGACCACTTCTACTTCGTGACTTTCATTAATCAAATACCCACCTGATTTTCCTTCTCCGGTGTAATACGTGTGCAAGCGTAGCGCGGAGCTCAATCCCGGCGCGAGCGACTCCCAAAGAGGCCACGAACACATCTTCTTTTTTTTCTTCGTATTTTCTTTCTACATTAACAATTCTCCATCGTCGATCGTGCAGAAGCTGTCTTCTGCATACACCGAACCAATATGGCGAGGTCCAGTTCGGCGAAACCGCCTCCTACGAAAGGCGGATCCTTTACACCTCCGAAGTCTAAGAAAGAGGCGAAAAAGCGTCACGATGACTATACCTCAGAAGGTGTAGAAGATAATGATATCTTCTTACTACCTATTTCTGACTATCAGGTTATGCTAGCTTTGACTATTGTTGGAGCTCTTGTGCGACTGTTCCGCATCTACCAGCCCTCCAGTGTCGTTTTCGATGAAGTACAGTAAGTGTCTTTTTCCACCGCAACCATCGTGGTCGCCGACACTAATTATATGTCTTCTGTATAGCTTCGGCGGTTTTGCGACGAAATACATCAAGGGCAAATTCTTTATGGATGTCCATCCCCCCTTGGCCAAACTTCTAATTACTCTATTCGGATGGCTTGCTGGTTTCAATGGCAACTTTGACTTCAAGGAAATTGGCAAGGATTACCTCGAGCCCGGTGTTCCATACGTAGCTATGCGGTTGTTCCCAGCTATCTGTGGTATTTTCTTGGTCCCAACTATATTTTTGACGCTGAAGGCTGCTGGCTGTCGTACAGCCACTGCCGCTCTTGGTGCCGCTTTCATCATCTTTGGTAATCCCCCCTGCCCCCTAATCTATATACCGTTGATGTCAAAGATGTACTTATACGAAATATAGAAAATGGTCTCCTTACCCAAGCACGCTTAATTCTACTCGACTCTCCTCTTGTTGCTGCGACTGCGTTCACCGCCCTCGCTTTTACCTCTTTCACCAACCAGCATGAACAAGGTCCCACCAAGGCATTCGACGCCAGCTGGTGGTTCTGGCTCGTCATGACTGGCTTGGGAATGGGAATCACTGTTAGCATCAAATGGGTTGGCCTTTTCACGATCGCCTGGGTTGGATCTTTGACTCTTGTACAGCTCTGGGTTTTGCTTGGTGATACGAAGACTGTTACTATGCGCATCTTCGCAAAGCATTTCATGGCCCGCGCTTTCTGCTTGATCATCGTCCCCATTACCTTCTACATGGCCATGTTCGCCATTCATTTCCTCTGCTTGGTAAACCCGGGCGACGGAGATGGATTCATGAGCTCTGAATTCCAGGCTACGTTGAACAACAAGGGTATGCAAGATGTGCCGGTCGATGTTGCCTTTGGTAGCCGTGTCGCTATCCGACATGTCAACACTCAAGGAGGATACCTACATTCTCACCCCCTCATGTACCCAACGGGCAGTCAGCAGCAGCAGATCACGCTCTATCCTCACAAGGATGAGAACAACATTTTCTTGTTTGAAAATCAGACCCAGCCGTTGGATGCTAACGGTGAAGCTATCAACGGAACTTTCGCTTGGGATGATGTAAAGAACATTACCGAAAACTACATTAAGGATGGCGACGTGATCCGACTATACCATCTATCTACTAACCGTCGCCTTCACTCTCACGATGTTCGGCCACCTGTTTCTGAGGCCGATTGGCAAAACGAAGTGTCTGCCTATGGATATGATGGATTTCCTGGTGACGCGAATGATCTCTTCCGTGTCGAGATCGCCAAGAAGCAGTCTCTTACGGCAGTCTCCAAAGAGCGACTCCGTACCATCCAAACCAAGTTCAGGCTCGTTCATATCATGACCGGCTGTGTGCTCTTCTCTCACAAGGTTAAGTTACCAGAGTGGGCGTCTGAGCAGCAGGAAGTCACTTGCGCTAAGGGTGGTACTCTTCCCAACAGTTTGTGGTACATTGAATCCAACTCGCATCCTCAGCTTGCCGATAGCGCCGAAAAGGTGAACTATGTTAATCCTGGCTTCTTTGGCAAATTCTGGGAACTGCAGAAGGTTATGTGGAGAACTAACGCGGGTCTGGTTGAGTCTCACGCCTGGGACTCTCGTCCCGAGTCTTGGCCTATCCTTCGTCGTGGTATCAATTTCTGGGGTAAGGAGCATCGCCAAATTTACCTGATGGGCAACCCTATTATTTGGTATACATCGACCCTTGCAGTTGTCATCTATGCGCTCTTCAAAGGTATCGCGGTTCTTCGATGGCAACGTAGCTGCAATGACTATTCCAACGCCACCTTCAAGCGATTCGATTATGAAATCGGAACCCTTGTCCTCGGATGGGCTTTCCACTACTTCCCCTTCTTCTTGATGCAGCGTCAGCTCTTCTTACATCACTATTTCCCTGCATTGATCTTCGCCATCATGGCCTTTTGTCAGACTTACGACTTCGCGACGGCTCGAATTGCAATCCCAGGTGTTAGAGAAAACCCCATCGTCAACAAGGCCGGTGTGATTGCGCTCTTGGCTATTTCTGCGGTTGTCTTTGCCCTCTACTCACCTCTCGCGTATGGAAACGCCTGGACCAAGGGTGAATGCAACCGCGTAAAGTTGTTCGGTACCTGGGATTGGGATTGCAATACTTTCTTAGAGAACGTAAGTGTCCCTCTCCAAGGAATGCCATCCAGAAGGCGAGGTTGAAACCCGACGCTCGTATCCTTTCATCTCCCATTCGGACGATTAAATATAGATATAAAGCGTATGGGAAAGGTTTTACAATTTATGAAATAGTATGCTAATATGATTCTCTCAGTACGACGCCTACTCTGGACTCGGCGCAATTCCGAGCAAGATTTCTCAAACTCCCCCAGCTGTTGTCGAGAACAATAAGCCACCGGTCCAACAACCCGTAGCCGGAAATAACCAAGACTCTCCAGAGGCGGGTATTTCGGGGGCGCCGAAGTTCGAACCCCAGGGCCAAAAGGTGATAGGACGGGAAGAGCGAGTTGAATACCGAGATCAGAACGGCAACCTTCTCAACGAAGAACAAGTAAAGGCGCTTGAAGGCAAAGTCGAATTCAAGACCAAGTACGAGACCAGGACGCGCGTAGTAGATGCTAACGGCAACGAAGTAGAAGCGCCGGTAGAAGAGCTAGTTGCCGCGGGCGTAGCACCGCCGCATCCCGATGTTGAGGGTGCTAATCAAGAGACTAAGAAATTGGTTCAGGATGACCCTATCCCTAAGGAAGTGTCATCAAGTAAAGACGGCGAGAAGGAAGCAGAGAGGTCAGTTCCTAAACCAGCTAGCGAGGGCAACGAGGCGACAGTTTAAACGCCCCGGTCCATCGTTCAAGTTTCTAATTTGACTTGATTCCTCATCGCGTCACCAAATCCTGACGAAGAAAAATCTCCACTGGTGTTTGTTTCTGAATGCTAAAAGCATCTGGGGGGGCCAGACGGCGTGTCTAGACTCATGTATACCACCATTACTAATGAAGATCACGGAGGGGAAAAAAACTAGGGAAATGTGGAATGCAAAGAAGGAAAAAGTATAAGAGGATATTGGCGTGATGGCCTCGCGAGGACAAAACTATGTCAGTTACACTGCTGATCGCAACCTATTTCCTTTAATTTGAAGATTTCCATCATTCATATATGCCTTCAATGAATTGACATGCCTTCATGCCAAGGTGGTGCAAAACTTGGATCGTGACGATATCTCAAGGGTTGTCGGGGATCTCCAACTGCAATAGCTTGTATGCGGCGGGCCGAAGTTCCGCTATACTCATACTAAGGGCGTAGGTTACAACTCTGGCTCCTAATCGCGGCAACTAACCCTCAATATTTAGGTATATGTACTACGCATAGTCCAATTATTTATCATAGGGTTATTAATGTGTGCTATTTATTTTATACCAGAAAGCAATTAGTTGATAACTGCTAAGAACCAGTTTCCAGAGCAAGGCGACCCATCTAAATAAACGAAATACCTACAACCTATCTCAAATGCCTCTGAAAGTCTGCAATGTCTCGATATCTTGTCTCTGTAGCACCGCAAAGCAGATAGTAACCCTACGTTTCCCCAGCAAACAAACGACCACGGGACAACTAGATATTAATTTTTGCCATTGTTATGCATGCCGTCATTCCAGCGGTCTCTTGTGCGTTTCATACGCTCCCATTCAGCCACCACAATCTACCAACGGTATCGTTACTTATCTCGATGAAACCGCAAATGTCCGACGATATTTCTGTGGCACCTGCGGCTGCCACATTTTCAAGCGAGAGCAAGGCTCTTCCCGTGATGCTGTAGGAGCCGATGGGCTATGGGCCGTAGCTACAGGCACCATTATCGGGCGAGCTGGAACTGAGGAAGGCGCGGACTGGGACCCGGAAGTAGCAGACGGCGGGAAGGGGTATTCCATCCTAAAGTTTGCCGGGCACGTGAATGTCGCCGGCACTAAAGACGGCGGTCTGTCTCCGTTCATTCAGAACATCTCCGAGCCGCGCGAGCCGGAGATTTGTGGACATCACAACGAAGTACCACCACCGCCTTCGGTAAGCGTACCTGGAGAAGGAAAGAACGCAGGCAGAAGCGATGAAGATGTGCTCGAGGCACACTGCCACTGCGAAACAGTCCGGTTCCGCATCACGCGTCCCGACGCCTCCAGCCGGGTCCCGCATTCCGGCTTCCCGGACCTCACAGTCCCGTTCGCTACCTCGCCTCCCGAGCTCATCAGCAACCCCGACGACGAGAAATGGTGGCTCCGTCCGCCGGACTCCCCAAACCCGACCATGTATCTAGCGGGTCTCTGTGCCTGTCGCTCGTGCCGCCTAACGTCCGGTTTCGAGGCCCAGACTTGGACGTTCGTGCCCAGGAGCAATATCTTCTTCCTCCCTCCTTCTCATTCCTCTTCTCCTCACGCTGCAATTGAGAATACGCTTATCCCGCTCGACTTCTCTGCTCTCCCTAAAGGTATCCTTCAGAGCTATGAGAGCTCGCCAGGTGTTCTGCGCGAGTTCTGTCCACGCTGCGGCGCTACTGTCTTTTGGCATGATCGCTGGCGCCCTGGCATCGTCGACGTGAGTACTGGGTTGTTAGACGCTCCTGAGGGCGCCCGCGCGGAGTCGTGGCTGGATTGGTGGTATAGTAGGGTTAGTTTCGCGGAGGATGCTGGGAACGGACGTGTTGGGGAGGCGGCACAATGGGCAGAGAATGTGGTGGATAGTTTTTCTAAGGGGCTGAAACTATGGGAAGAGAATGGAGGAAAGGGGGTTGCTTAGCCAGTGAAAATGCGCAGTCTTTAGACGAAGTATATTCACCTAGGCAGCTAAGCTAAGTCCGTTAAGGGACGGAGAGGTCTGCTGCATGTTGATTTCATGGAGGATAGATATCATTGTTTTTCTTGTAAGTAAGTAGCTATTCTATCTTAACAAGTATATGTAGCCACGGATCTGTTGTTTACATTGTCTTCCACACCGTTACCCCTATTCAATTGATATTTCTCATATTTAAGACACACATCATTTCGTGGTCACATCACGCTAGGGTCTGGGCCTTACCTTATCATATGTCTCCTTCACACCCATGAAGCTTTGATTCCGACTTCTCCAGAGAATGTTGTTTCTTATTTGACATACTTTCCATCAGGTAGGTAAGCATGATCCTCACCACCATTTGTCTCTAATGCCTACCAAGTCTACACTCATGTCACTACGTTTCGTATGAATCCAATTAAACTACATCCCGTTCTTACCGATACCGGAAAGCAAGGCACTAATGGCGTTGGCTTCGAATGGCCCATACGTACTACCCGTTCGTTGATAACTGGACCACGTAAAAAGAATTTGTCACCACTAGATCCACACTGGTTGACGTTGCCCTCCGAATGGCCATACGGAGTCGGAATACCCTCCCGAGCTCCACCAAGTAGGCGAGAGCATCAACAAAAATGAAAACGGGCTCAACCGGGATTTGAACCCGGGACCACTCACAGGATCTCATTCTCTGAGATTGGGATTACCCGTCTGTTACTCCGTCGTGAGATCGGATGAGACATGACCCGAAGCGAGTATCCTACCACTAGACCATTGAGCCTATTTGCTTGGGATGTCCTAACCGCTTAGGTTCGTCGAAGAATGCGTTGAAGTTGTCGGTCTGCCTTGGTGCGGCGTAGGTAGTGAGCAGGCCCAGTGGGTTCCAAAACCACAAAATAGATTATAGGACGTAGCGCTGTCGGCGGCTAATTTTTTAATTTTTCAATTCAAATGATCGCAGAATAGAATCACTTCAGTCTCTGTCAATGCAGTAGTTTATTTCGTGCGTATGATCGCATTTCCATGCATTTTATAGTCGGTAGGAGAAGCAACCTCAGGAGACACAACATTACTAGGTAGGTAGGTACCTAGCTAGCGAGCCGAATTCAGTGCAGTTCCCCCAATATACAGGAGAGTGCTGCCACACATCAAGTTCTCGTAGCGCAAAGATTCTTTTTGGCTTCGCGGATTCCATCCATGGATATCAACAGTGCTACAACTCAAAGAAAGCTCGGGGAACAATTAAGTCTTACCGGTCACTATATTATGGTTTCAGTTATCCAGAAAAACTCGGAAATTGCTGCCCATGAAGCAAGCCTGCTAAAACTTCGTCGCAGAGACTTCCGCCCTAAGCCAGAACTGACCAAAAAGAACAATTGTCATAGCAAGGCTCAAACTTTCTGCATTCACATTTCCTTGTTTTGCCGTTTAAAAGGTATCAATGCGACGCTCCAATACAATAGCGAATGTCTCCCATTCACGCTATTGAGCAAAATATGCGACCAACAAAAGATTTTGCCAGAAGATGTTACCATCATGTACAAGTTTCTTGGCTACTTCCTAGTGTAACTAAGCATCGGAACGGGAGTTATTTGAGTTGGTAAAAAAGCAAAAGCAAAAGAAAAAATTGATGGTCCCAGAGAGGCTTGAACTCTCGGCCTTCGCATTACTCAATATTTCCTATTCAGGAGACAGAAACATATTAGTACGACGCTCTGACCAACTGAGCTATGGGACCCTCAACTACTGGATGAGTAGTGGTGATTGGTGAGATTTCGTGGTGTTAGCCAAGTACAAGTATGCAAGCAACTGCGAAGTTCGGATGAGAGATTTCTTCGGTCTTCCGGTCCAGGCCGGATGAACCAATCGAAAAGTGGACATACCTCTCGGCTTTGAAAATGGAGAGGAATTCGATTCTTGAAAATGCATAGGTACAATAAAGCTCTAGATGAGTTGAGTATACTAATACTTTGCAATACTTTATAACATTGAGAGGTTGCACTGATGGACAATGTTATCATTGATGATGCTGATCTTAGTTTGAGGGGTCGCTCAACCCGGCACTCTTAAGATTCCTTCAGGGCTCGTTAGGGAACGTGGAAACTTGGGTGAAAAGTTTCATATACCTAAATATTCCTCAAAATATTCCTCAAATAACAACGGGATATCCGTAAGATGGGGAAAATATAAATAAATGAATTGTTAATGTCTAGGTATTTGGTGGTGTATCTTGAATAAGTTGGCTGGTTGGGAATTAATTTTGGTGACTTCCTCTTTTGCCCCCTTTTTCTACCTACCTACTCACCCTTAATAATCAATATTGCCCGAACCCCCTTTCAGGAAAACACCAAAGACCCAGGACCTCAAATCTTTTCACTGGGGGATTAATCTTAATTGTACATTTTTCCTTTGTATTGTTGTATAAACGCTTAAGGCGAAAAAGTATTATGAACTTTCTGTATAACTTGTATCGCGATAAAGAAGCCTTGATAAACTCCTCAACAAATAGTAGATGTGAAATAGGGAGTCGATGATGGATGATACGGGTAAAAATCGTGCTCACTTATATAAGTTCCGTAAACAGCCACCACGACCAAGGGTTGACGTTAGTCTTCTCCGTACCTGCCCCGTGTCTGCCCATGCGGTTGAAGTCGTGTCGGTCCGGATTCACAATGCCGTCCAGGGAAGGAGCCCCAGAATGTCACGGAAGGAGCCCCTTCGCCGGGATGAACCGGGTGGTCATCCCGTGTCCGGCATCATCCGAGCATTCATTACCACCGGGTGATTTCGGCATGGTCATAACGTGAAGACCTGGTCACGGTAACGCCCATTCTCACCGCATATTTCCTGCAAACACCACAAGCATCCGATATGAAGTAAGGGGACTGAATCTCCTCTACACGTAGCGTGATGCACGATGCGCTAGAACTCCATCCCGACACTTCCCCTGAAGAAACCTCTACCCGTGTAAGGTCCGGGAGATCTCAGAGGAACAGGAAAGTCTCGGCATACCTCTTCCGAGATCTCGTCGTGTCATCATCTCATGCATCCTCACCGGCGAGCAAACAACACGGTTAATCCCGACGGCAAAAGACCGTCGACTGATCTCTTTGCGTCATATCCATCCCCACATCCACATGCGAATCTCATACCGAAGCCCTTCCATTCACCCTCCCACCTAGCCCCCACCCCATTCACCGATCCGTGAAGACCTGGACATCGAACTCGGTGGCATCGAATGCCTCATCGATCGCGATCTAAAAAGGAACGTCGAGTCTAGCTCGCGCAGGTGAGCATCGCAGGTCGACATCGCCGCCTCGCCGTAGCAGCAAGGAGAAGAATCTCCAGACCCCGAAGCCGCAGAGCAAACAATCTCTATGCCGTCCCTAACATCAGGAATGCGAAGACGCATACATACATACATAGACGGCAAACCAGCCCAACGTCACCGGAAAGTAGCCAAGATCGAACAAGCTTTTCGCGTGTAACCGTCGAGGGTTACGCGGCATGGCAGGCGAGCATACATACGTGCCTTATTACCACCTTCGCCGATTGCCATACCTGGTGAATCAGCACTCGCCTATATGATCTACCGCGCCGTCCTGCAAAGCCAGGTCGTATGTACGTAGGTACCTACTTTATGTAATGCAATGTACGCCCATGCTCTATTAGATTACACATATGCCTGGTAGATGTAGGGAGTAGGTATGGGCATGTACCTACGTAGATGGTGGTATGGTAGCTCTGCATGAAGTGACATCCATGGCAGGAGCCGTCGGAGAAGGGCGCCAGGCATGTGGTAAAAGGAAGTGTCCCAGAAACTAATAAAGCCCCGATGCGTGGAGCTCGAAAGAGAAAAGACGATATGCCATGTCTCACACCTACGCAAACACACGCATATACACAACATACATAGCAATCTACCGCATGACACCCACCTTCCTCGAAGCAGTAGAAGAATTTTCGAAGCATCTTTTATGATTATAGCTCAGCCCAATCACAGATTATTATAACTCAGTCGGTAAGGGAGGGCTTAGGCGCAAGCTCGGGTAAGGCAAAGGTGTATCGTGGTTTGTGTCGGATAACGGCATGTTGTGGTAGGGTTCCCAATGTTCTAATGACAAAGTCTCGAAGAAGTATCGAAGACTTCAACGGCACATCCCACTTAACCTACGTTGAGATTCAACACACTACCCAGCAAATAGGTCACACTCGCGATTACTTACTGAATCACCCACTCTTGCTCACACCAGGCTAGGCCTTTCGCCACGCTTATCGAAGGCCGAAGATCTCACGCACATATAGCTCATCTGGAATGAAATGCCGCAGTGAAGCACAGCGCGAGTTCTAGAAAGCGTACATGTCGTAGAACCGTATCGTAGGTATGTGGTAGTTTACTGGAAATTATTTACCGGTGAGGCTCGCGTGTCATAACCATCTACATTCAAGGCTGACCTTGGAACTGTAATCATGACATACATGTCATGTGTGTAGTTCTAAATATGCACTTTGCTTCAAGATGCGGCTCCCTTGGCAATTAGATGCCAAGGTACGCGGCATCTCGCAAGCGGCCGTCTTGCATGCTGGGCATTCATGTTTCTGGGGACCCGGGACTTAATAAGGCTAACAGAACCCTTGCCTGGCGTTCTTCCCGTTGTTGTGACGTCGGCTCTTATGTAGGAGGCGTTCTGGCCGGTTTAGTTTCAAACCATTCCGTACCGTAATTGAGAGATTTGCATATTAAAAGGTCGTTTCCCGTCATATAGGTCTTACAGAGCTAAGAGCGTGCATGTATGTAGGGGTCATCTCGACTGTACCTCGTACATTCGTATCAGACCAGCCAGATATGCGCGTGTGACTGCTTACAACCCAGCAGGCTATATCCTGTTCAACAAAAGGCGACCGGCACCCCATTCCTACATGTTGTTGGCGCACCTCCAGATGCCACGCATTGTTTCTGACACTAGATCAGAAGCTAGCAATAGTGCTGTGCCGTGGACCGTACCTATGTAATAGCTTACGGTAGCTTCAGCCGAAGTTCAAACCGAAGTCCCTATAAGAAACGAAAACATGATGCTAGTTCAATTTCTGGAAAGCCGGAGTAGGACGCCGGTAAACATAGACCCGCCATTGTTCCAAAGAACCCCCACGCAAGTGGACGCGACGCAATCAATTGGAAATTCAATCCATGTCGCGGTTGTACGTGTCACCCGCCGAAGGAAAGCCGCGGCCGTGATAGACGGGGTCTGGAATTTTCTCTCAATTTTGGCGATAACACCCTGATGGGATTCATCGAGCGTGCGCGCGGATATGAGATGAATCGGATGACGAGATGAGGTAAGATGTACGTTTGAGCATACCGGCATGCCAGGTAGGCAAGCAGGCAAGGCAGGCAAGGTCACCCTTCCATCGCAACGGATCGCCGATTTTTACTTCTTCGAAAAGCCCGGACGAAGTAAGCAGAGATGTAGGAGATCCCGTATAGCCAACCCCTTTCACCGGGCGCTCAAACTTGCAGATGTAGGTAAAATCCCATGGTCACGGCGGGCACGAATCAGACGAAGCCGGCCCCCGCCAACACCAACGAGAGGGATAGAAGGAAGACGTCGATGCGGCAAAAGCGGCAACAGGCGCGGGAAAGGGATAAACCATCCAGATCGACCAGATTAGTGCAAGCTAGGTAGTTAGAGGTAGCTAGCGTGAAGCAATCGTCTAAGGATAGCAGTTAGCCGGGCGGCCGGGGTTTGGATTGCGTCGTATCGGCACCGAAGACGGATAGAGTCGAGGATCCATGGATGCTATCCACAGATGTTCCTAGTCGAAGGCCACATGAGAGGAACGGCCGAATCGCTACCTAAGCATAGCGCATACAATGTCTCCGTAAAAGGCAACTAAAGTGCGCTGTAACGGCGGGATTACTATTACAACTATGCTCAATGAGCCATCATGAATCAAGAACATCCCGGTAGGTAATATCCTATGACAGCGCATGTGCAAACAAAGGAACAAAAGAAAAAAAAGAAAATGGCTGCGAAAGCTGAAGCGAAACTTCGAAACTTCTCCCCCACACGTGGTAGCACACGCTTAGTTCTTCCTTCCCTGGCGGTCAAGGTTTATGGGTTACCATATCCGGAAAGAATGCTTAAGAGAGAGGTATGATTGGACGATTGCAGCAACAGGGGTATAGGTTCTTTCTTCCAAAAATACGTAATTTATGTGTGTGTATATGTGTATGTACAGTACCTCTCGTCAATTAAAGTAAAGTAGTACAAAAAGGTCGTAACTGTACAACGGTACAGCAGGGCAACATGCATCTGCAGCTTCTGCAGGTTCCGCAGGTGCTGCATTTTAGAAAATGCTTGTTTTCGCTTGGCTACAACGCTAGTCGATTTGAAGGGAAATGGGGACAGGGCAGCCGACATCGTCCTCGTTCTCCTCGTCGTCCATTGGAAGAGCTATGGAGAACACTCATTGGAAGCCCGTTCCCCCGGGAATACAAATGACGACCGAAGCTACTGCGTCTGATTAGTTGGTTCCAGATTAGCAAATACGTAAATGGTCAAGTGCTGCCGGCGAACGATGAGCGCGAGACGCCGATGCCGACGGGACCGAACTTTTTTTTTCACTCCTTTTTTTATCTTCTGTTTCTAATCAGAATGTATCCAAGTACTACTAGATCTGAAGGCCAAATCTAAGATCCTCATCTTTTCAATTCTGTAATAACATGTTATTGTCGCACTACAGTATCCTGTGTGGATTTAATAACGTGCTTATAATTATCAATTGGGGATAGTTAAAGCACTCAACATGAGACATAAGATTAAAACCTTGCTAGATCAATGTTGTGGTGGCTGAACATGTAGCTACCATAATACGTAGATGTACTGTACATCAAGGATCCATGGATGCATGATGTTCAAGCTTTCAATGTTCGTGTCTGACATCCACGCATCCACGTCCCTACGGTAAGCTACGGTGAGACATTCCCATGCTGATGATAATGGCGTAACCTATCAATTGAGATGCCAGACAACCTAGTACGCCGCCCGCACGATCTGTGTCGCGCCGGGGACTTTGGATACTTACATAGGTACTAGGTACACATCCAGACATTTTGCGGGGGAACGCAATGCGTCAATGAACGTGCGCCTCAATTGTATGAGGTGTATGTTCGTCTCATCGTCCTTGTCTAAGGCATGTCTAGCTTCAGCTCGCACCGCGCTGATTGGGAACTGGTCACACTTAAGACACGATAACATCACAATGCATATATCAAAATTTTGATGTGAAAGCAATTTGCATTGCTAACGGCAGAGAAAGCTGTAACGCCGCCTCTGCTAGACGACCTTTCGTTCGGGTCGAACTCCCCCCCTTAGAGTATTACAGAAATTTAGACACACGAGGCTTATTCCATGCCCCGTACAATCCTCATCCACCAGGCAATTTTTCGTTCAAATGTGACACCACCCTGAATGCTTATGCTGTTAACCGCGAGTGTCGCGTGTCCGACCACTCATATGCCGCATGCTAGAAGACGCAAGAAACGCGAGAGAAACGAATTTGTTATGTACGGTGTCGGCACCAATACTTTATATGATCCATGAAAGCGTAAAATGCACTGTCGTGCCAAGAGCCCCTCCTGTTCCCTTCAAGTCCCTGGGATATCGCCGTAAAACGCCTGTGTATTGACATGAACCGTAACCAGAAGTTTATGCGACAAAAGAAAAAAGAAGAAGAAAAGGGGAAGAGGTATCATGCTCTTCGAAGGTATTAGAAAAGGGTTCGTTCGTCCTCCTCCTTAATAACCAGGCTTTCCGGGCATCGGGGGTAAGCCATGCCCTGTGCTTAAAGGCGGTAGGTGGTTGTGGCAGAAAATCTTGCCTGTACTTGACTTCATACAGTCCTTCTTAGACGCATCGATGAATTTGACGGGATCTTCATAGGACTCCACCTGGCAGCATTCGATGTTCTTGATCCACCTATTCGTGACAACCTCGTTCATCGTCATCCGCTTCTTCGGGTCGGGATGAAGCATGTTGAGAAGTAAGCGACGAAGGGCGACGGGCTTGACCGCGTATTCGAACGCCAATATTTTAGGATAAGCATCCTTGACCGATTCCGGATCGATCAACTTCTTTGCGTCGATCTTTTCCCAACCACCGACAAGATCGTTATAGCTCTTATTCGGACCTACTTGTGCTTTCTCCCACAGGTTCGCGTTAAAAATAAGATAAAGCATCACGATCGCCGAACTCCATACGTCTAACGGACGCGGGTCGTATTCCGTCTCTTTGCTGAGCACCTCGGGCGCGATGTATGGAAGACTACCGCAGATACCAGGCTTGCAAAGACGTACCTCGCCCATGCCGATACCGCATTGGCCCCCAGCTTCCCTAAGGCCGGGATGAATACCAGAAAACACTTCCGAAACACCGAAGTCAGTAATTTTCACCTTGCTGTCCTTCGTGATGAGAAGGTTCTCAAGCTTGATATCGCGATGGGCGATGCCGTTCGAGTGTAGGTAGTTAATTCCTTGGCAGAGCTGCTTGAATATGCACAGACGGTCTCCTTCCCGACCTTCGTCTTTGAGGTACTTCTTCGAAACCAAAGTGAAAAGGTCACCTTCGGAGCAGTATTCCATCACATGATTCCAACGTCCGTGGTTAGTACATAGACGAATGGTCTCGACAATGTTAGGATGATGCAAGCTCTTGGCGATGCTGTACTCGGATTTGATCTTCTTCTCATACTCCTCCACCGTCTCGGACGAACTCTTCGAACGGAATTCCTTGACAGCATACAACTCTCCAGGGCTGCCCCTACGCGCCATTAAGGTGACCTTCGAAGTCGCGCCCTTGCCAAGGTGCTTTCCATGACGACCAAGGAATTTGTGTTGGTATTCGTATTCCTTCATAAGCTCGGCAACATCAACGGTAAAGTCATCCGGGAGACTGAGACTTAGTCTCCTGGCCTTCATGCCAGTACCAGCATCCGGTGGGATTGCCCATGGCTGTCTCGTTAGCTCCTCCTCGTTCTTCTTCTTTCGCTCCACACTCCGTGTCCGTCGAGGGTTCTTGGTTGTGGTGAAATTGACCACCTTGTTGCGCAAAGAGAAGCCGGTGTTGGCCCTAGCTTTTTTGGAGCGGTTCTCCAAAAAGTCTCTACTAGTGGGAATGGAGATGCGGCTCGACCTGTCCCGAGAATTTGGCGTATCTATGGGAGAGCCAGGAGAAGGTGGGGTGTTAGAACGGGTCGTCGCACTTGACCTCTGCATGGAGAAGCGACGGCGACTGACGTTTGGTGTTACCCTATTGGACGGGGTGAGGTTGGTTTCGGACGAACCCGACTCATAATTGGGGTCTTTAAATTCCGCTGTTGCACCACCATTGTCACCCACGTGGTAACTATTGCGCTTAAAAATTGACATTTTCCTGGAAATTGCGGAAATTGTGGAAAGCGCAGACGATGATCGTCGAGGTGTGAGTTTTCTTGGTGACGACGGACGGCGTGCGGATTTCGGCCGGTAGCTTTCAGTCTGTTGCAGAGGCGGTGTATTTAATGGCTCATCAGAGGTTGCTTGTGATGTAAGAGTAGCGGCGGTGGTAGGCGGCGGTGGTGGAGCATGTGATGGTGGGATTAGATGTTGTGCAGGAACGGCGAGATGGGTTGGTGAAGGGAATAAAAGAGCCGGGTTCACGGCGTCTTTATTAATAATGTTCAGTGAATCGTCAGCATGCTCCGGAACACCTGATTCAGAGGCAACAGAATAATTAGTAAGAGAATCGCGATGGTAAGTGTCGTTCTGTTCGCAATATCGAAAATCCCGTGATTGTCTCCCACTAACTGGTGTAATGGGCTCGTTGGAATATGACTCGCTACCAGTTTCTTCGTCGCCTTCTTCGGGGATTGGATTGGTGAGCTCTGCAGGATAACGCCGAAGTGAATCAATTGGGGTTTGGGATGCAGAGGAGGTGTTTGTGGTATTGGTGGTATTGGTTGTATTTGTGGTAATTAGTGAGGATGTGGACGGTGACGGCGAAAGGTCTGTAGGTCGGACTATTAAATTTATTGCGAAGTCAAATGGTGGTCGCTCTAGGTTGAAAATACCTGGAGACTTTTTTGTTGATTTGGTTGACTTGGTTGACTTTACAGACTGTGTGGATTTTGTAGATTTCGTCGATGCAGATGACGAAATTTTGGTAACAAGCGTTGCAGCATCCACCGAAGTAGAGTTTATTTCTGTTGTCGTTGCTTCAGGAGAGGAAGAATACGGCGGATGCGGATGCAACAATTGATTTGAACTGATGGGCGCCGACTGCGACTGTCTCTGCAAGGGCTTCAATGCGGGAAAGTGCGAGGGTCTAGTTAATTGCGATGGCGATGACATCGCTGGGGGTGCTGGCCGGGTTTGGGTTTGTGGGGCTGCCATCGTTATAAGTTGGTGGGTACGAATGTACCCTAGGTACAGTACTAGTTACTTCGGTACAAGAAACCACCTGGGCAAGCAAGAGAAAGCAGGAAAGACTGAAAAAAATTAAGGGGCCTGTGCTTATAATGCTGAGCAGGGCGCTAGGCTTTCCGGGCTAGAGGCTGGATAACGACCGATTAAGGAGGGCAGGAGGGCTCTTTCAGGGTAGTATAGGACCTAAGTAGCTCTTTAGGAGGTATCCAGGTGGTATCCAGGTAGTTTCCAGGTAGTATCCAAGTAGCATGCAGCAGTAAATTAAGGCGCCGAACAATTCGAATTCGGTTGGGACCTTAGTACCTATGACCTATGGCGGGACTTCGGCGATCGTTCGAGCGTTATTTTTCGTTTTTCGTACTATGAATGAATTCGAATTCCTGGAATAGTAACCGAAAACGTAGACTGATCCGGCCAATTCACAACTAGTCCATATCCTAGCCTAGGCACAATTCTCTTATCAACCTAGAAGATATGAAGTCCTTACTAGAGGCTTAATAACGTTATTCAATCGTTATTAGAACGCTGTTGAATGGCACTGATGATTGGAGCACATTCGGTAGTCGGCAGTCGGGGTCTCTCGGTTCGATTCGGCTTTCCGATGACGTTCCTTTTCTTCCACTTCTTTGTTCTTCTTATAAGATTGGAACTCGAATCTTGGTTCGTCGATAACGAAAAGCACCCGGTGCTTTCTCAATAAGGCGGGCTGACGACACCGGACTAGTATAGACAAGGCGGGCTTTTTCGATGGGGCGGCGGGAATAGCAAACCGGTGCTCGTCTCGCTTTCGGATATTTCTTCAACACTCACTAAAATCTCGTTTACACGTCAAGTGGAATCCGAGACAAGAAACGAACAATAAAAAGGAATACGAATTGTAAACGTCGATTCGTGGATTCGTGGATTCGTGGATTAAAGAATAAGGGGTTCTCTGCAAGATAGTCTTGGCTAGTCCTTCTTCGAAGATTCTGTGCAGGTATATTATAGCACCTGATGGTGTGGGTGGTGGTGATATATATGTGGTGGGTATGCTGCAATGTCGTAGTTGCACACAGCGTACGGTCCCAGGGATCTACGATGCCTGAGTGCCAAGGCAAGGAGAGAAGAAGAGAAGGGAGCAAGATACGTCCGCGAGGGGATGGGAAGACGATTATAACAATAGAGTTAAGGACCGTAAAGAGAGAACCGATCCGACATGACAGTGAGCGTATAATGTCTGTAAGTCGAATCTAGTGGCGGCTTTGTTGATCTATGGCCAAAGTTGTAATGTGCATGCGAGCAACCCACAAGTATGGCACTCAAGGACCACCCTAGCACCTAGTTGAAGTAAACTGCGCAACTAGAAAGTATGCAGGTAGAGTACAAAATACGGAACGCAACTCAAATCCTGCCTGCACTGCTAGCTGCAGAGGACCCTGTGGAGGGGGGGAGACTAGACGAAGCGGCTTGCAGGAAGAGTGATGTATGTGGTGTGTGTGTCCCGGTCAAGGATCAAACTCAGGTTTGAAGTTGGGGTTGCTATGCTAGGGACGCTTTGGGCGTAGGGAGTAGTATCGTAGCAGTATGTAATATGCAGTATACTGCGTGAAGATAGGCGTTAAGTGGCAGAGTGGGTAGCACAGCGTGGGGAGGAAAGCATTAAGACAGAGAAATAATGTCGACTCAAGTTGGAATTAAAAAAACCCAAAGACGAAAAAAGACTCAAATCTTTAACGGTAAGGGGAGATCTAAGATATTAGTACCTCTTCGATCTCGGACTTTCATGATCGAGAGGAATTATCTTGGCGTACATATCTAGTAACTACCTGCTACATAGTAGTAGAGTGGTATGTATTGAAGTTTGGCTCTGGCTCGCTCAGAATCTGTTTTGCAGTAGGACGTGTACGCTGTAATTGCGCGGCAAAATCCATGCGGACTTGGCGGTTCTGCTTTCCTACAAGCGTACAGCACAGCACAGCACAGTATAGATCGATGGTCAGAATGGAGAAGCGTGAGATTACGGCCCTGACTACTGCATACATAGTACATAATACAGCTTAGCATAGATAACAGTCACCATAGCCTTTGACGCTATTACGCATCTAGTAATACATATGATACATACATCTAGGTAATCCAGAGCGCGATGAGACCGCGAAGTACCGCGAGAGGTATCGTGTACTTGCATACCAGAGACACTACCGCGGCGAAACGGAGGAAATGTGGACGACATACTTCATCGCTTGTGCTACTTGGACGCCATTCGTCACGCTTAACGACTCTAAAGTGTTATTAATTAAAGAATTAACCTTAGTTGTTTCTTGGGTCCATGGAGACCCCAGAGGGTCCCAGCTTAGAGTGGGTGGTAAGGGGCCACTATTCCCACCACTATCATAGGGATCCCGAGGCTGGTTCATAATTTTTATGCTCGATTACAATTCAACGAGAGTAATGAGAACTCACTTCAATATTGTTGGTCGAGGCTGACTAACAGGTAAGGTCAGGTAAGGATAGGTACAGTAATGAAATAGTGAGGCTAGGCAAGGACAGAGTAGGCATGGTTCATTGCCTATTAAGTTCAGCCACTTTGCTTGGAAGTGAATCTATCGCCTTTGACTACCGTTCAAATTCCATAGATATTCTTGGCTGTCTACCTAGTATTTGATGATGTCCTGGTTAGGGAAAAGTCAACGAATATCAACCGCCATCGATCTCTTCGTTGTTGTCTACGATGCCGAATCAATGGCCTCTGATAACATCAAGACTTACACGACTTACACGTGTATATAATCCTAGAAATTCTTCGAGCTTACGGCGCAAATACATACATGTGAATGGCGTTTACGTAATCTTACCATGTGGAATCTCATCTGTTATGATTGGTCGGTCACAAACCCAGTAACAATAAGAAACTCACGATGAGGAGTCCGGGAGTGTGTAATAAGGTAATAATAAGTGCCAATCACACTGTTCTCAAACGCCTCACTTTCTCATATGCACAATCTCCCGTAGGAAGCGGCAGTGAGTAGGAATCGTACAGCGTAAGCTTATGGTAAAATATACCCTGCATAGATTGTCTTCGACCTTCTGTTCTAGAATGAATGGGAAGTTGGGAAGTCAAGACAGATTCCTTCGTTCGTAGTCGCCGGTACTTGGATTCGACGCCAAGGATACTTTTGCGTCAGTACGCTGTACGAAGTATTCACTGCTAGTGAAATTGTAAATACCAAACAGATTTACAAAACACTTGTAACTGTAAAATGATTGCCGTCTGGGGGTTCTTGGCTGTGTAATTGAGTTCTTACTTGTGCTCGGTATCGTTTCACCGGGACCAGAAACATTGGCAATACCAAGAACCGCTCATCTATTTACAGGTTCAGACCAAGGCCTTGGCTCTACGCAATTCAACCCAGCCATTTGTATTGCGTTTCCTATCTCCCTTTCCTCTCCCGCCCGCCAAGGACCGAGGGGTTTTTTGTCACTTCCCACCGTTGAATTGAAACGAACGAAGCGTGCGCTAATGATACCTAATAATCGCGCTTCCTAAACTTTGACGCCGTAAAAAAAGGAACTAGTCTACAGGTAACTAGTCTCTAGATCTCCAGATTAGTCGATGCTCGTCGTAAAATAATTACCGTGGTTGCCGGTCACTTTCCGTGCCGTCTTCGAAATGATCTTTGAAATGATGTAAGTTCTCAGGTCCGGGTCCGTTAGGTGCATCTACAGGAGATAATCTCGAGTCATTCGCTATTCCAAGTTTCGTGTAACGAAGATAATTCATCATTGTTGGTAGGGAATGGTGACACGAGCCAGCCTACTTCGAGGCCTGATCCTACATGCGTCATATCATACTATGCGTACTATGTAGAGGTAGGCATGTACATACCTACCCTCCGTTAGTTTGCGCGTCATCTCGACTTTCGTTCAATGACAACTTAGCAAAAGAAAGCGTGTAAAGGATGTTGCTAAGAAGCTAGCTGGCGCACTAGCCGATAGAGCAATAGGCATGCCAGGTATTCCCGGATGATGGGAAGTCGAATTGAGTATTATCAAGTTAGCAGACTTGGCTAAGTAGCCCCAAGGCACCGCCAGTTTACAGATATTCCGATCAACATATTCCGCAAGTCGCAAGTCTGCCAAGGCCAAGTGATGATCGTTGGTGCGAATTCGCTGACGCGCCCAGCATTGGCAGGTGTATTTTACTACTATGCTGCTATGCTTAGCGTTCTGCATTATACGTATAATGAGGGCACTATACGGTATAATGTTGTATTACCCACATTATACGATTATACACATACTAAACGTGTATAATAGAGTGTATAATGCGGTATCGAGACTAAAAACCTTACTTAATCGCATGAAATAGATCTTTTTCTACAGTAACTTTAACGACACCACACGATTTCCGTAACGACACCACACCTTCCTAATTCGGACTAGTCAACCCACACATAATTCAGCACAATTACTTAAACATTAGAACCAAAGCCCTTTTTGGCTTAGTCATCCACACTAGCTCTAAATTGTATCGTGTACTTTCAAGTGCTTATTTAATTCAGCCAATAAGCATACGCATTGCGATACTGATTTTGAACTTGACATTTTTATTTGTATAGAATTATTAAAAATTAAATAAACTCATAAACTTATAGCGCGCGATGAGGCGAATCGATTGATATAGGTTATGTTTTTATAATTGATGTAATCGTCGAATTAATTGGCAAAGTTCCTACGGATGAATAAGCAGCTTGTTGACATCGAGGGGTATCACGTGACTCCATGAAAACTATGACTTCTACTTCAAACCCTGATATAAGTACTAAATTCCAATGCACTTAATTGAGAGTTATATCGTTAGATTCGCCGAGGAGATAGCTATAATATGATACCTTTTTTATTATTACTTCTATTAATCTTAAAGGGCTATTCAGATTTCAGTGCAA